CAGGTTAACCACCTAGAAGAGTTCCCCATGGATCTCGACAAGGATGCTGTCTATGGCTATGCCGCTGCTTGTGCCTTGGCGCTCTGAAGTTGTTAGCGTTTTTGTTTCTTCTTTCTTTGCTTAAGGTTCTCGCCCCTGCCCCCCTGTAGGTTTCGCCGCGATGTGGCAGCACTTTCGTTCGGATGCTGTGGAGGTGCTGTTGGAAAAGTTCACTGGCTTCGTTCGGGTTCCAGTGGAAGACACGGACAGCTTTCAAAAGTGGTATGACGACCTTGTGGAACAACAATTGCTCGCCACTGCAGCCGGAGATCGAGCGCGTGCAGCATTCCTATCTAAGAAGAAAACCAAAGTTGTGCGCTATGCTCTGCCCCAATGCTTTTTGGAGCAATTTTTTCATCGGCATGCAGCTCGGTTGGCGCAGGACGCCGTGCCAGATGTTCGCAACTCTATTGCTGCTGCAGACCTGCGGGTAGCAGCTTCCATTCTTGATTTCCTTGACCTGCAGCGGCCCCATTTCCAGACTTTGTCTGGGCACTCCTACGTTGCTGCTCCAGCACCGTCCCCACAGGACACGACTCCCATGCTGCCGCCGCAGCCGGCAAATGCGCTTGGAATCACCTTCTCCGAAGTTGCCGTGCTTGCTTCTGAGCGCATCGCGCCAATGGTCGCTGCGGACACTGCTGCCTTCGTGACAGCTGTTGCTACCATTCTTACTAGCAAAAAGACCGTTGTTGGCTTGACAGAGATCCATGCGCTTTGGCGCGCCCTTCCCGAAGCCCTTGCCCGTCGGGTCAGCAAGATGCAAAATGCGGCCCTGTCGACTTTGACGCTGTTCCAAGCCCTAGTTGTCACAGAAAATGCCCGAGGGCCAAAAATCACCAAGGTTTGTCGGTTTCCCTTATCGGGTCACCTCAATGCAGCGCCCACAGCAACGGCCCCCCAATTCAGTACACATGATGCTTGCAACCTTGTGGTGAATGCTGCAACGCCGCAGCCGCCCATGCATATCCAGTGGCCCAGCAACCAGAACGTCGCAAAAGACCTTGCCAGTGCCAACGTGCCGCAAAGTGCGATGGAACATGCGGACACCAAAGTCGCTACTGCCCGCGCCCTCTTGCGCGAGCTGCGCTTGGTCTTTCAAGACCATCCTCCATTGGGAGCACCTTGGGCAAACGATGACGTCACGCCTCTAGAAGCTGTGGCCAAACGTCCTCGTGTTGAGCCGCCTGCCTCTCTCCAGTTCAGTTCCATGGGATCCGGGATGTTGCCACCCATGCCACCTCCAGCTGAGCTGCCGCAAGACTGAGATGTCCGTGAACAATAGTTCATCCCGTTGACGCTCTTCCCACCGATGCAAAAAGCGGCCTCGGATCATGCCGTACAATTGAATGGCACCCATGGAAACCTTTGTGCTGCTTCGATTCAAACTGGTATTAAATTACTTGTCACCGCATGGTACTTGCGTTGCTGCATTCACGTCACTTATCCAACCTTGTGCTCACACGCCTGTAGCCGTTTTGTCGCCAGCTGTTGTTTTGCGTCTCTTCTCCGCTCACCTTTGCAATGGCTGCCGAGTACGGGCACCTGCTGGGCAAGAAGGTTCTCTACAACACCCCCAATTCCTCGGAGGCGCTGGGTTGCTGCTAGCCGCGCAAAATCATTTCCTTAGACTCTTTCCTGCCGCTGCCCTTGAGATGGTCAGGTGCTCTCGCGGACGGTGCACGCCGTCTGCATGGATGGGTACGTGCAGCTCGGAAGCGACACGCTTGCGAGCTACGACGAACGAGCCGCTTGGGTAGGCGGCGGTTGGTTGCGCGGTCTGTTGTGGTTCCACGTCGACGTTTCTATTGCACACTGATATCATGCTGCATGCCTACTAATTGCACTATCGGTTTAATTTTCCCGCATGCCATTCCACCATGTTCACACCTCAGCAGTTCGACTTGTGTTTTTGCCGCGCCGATTTCATGCCATTCTACCATGTTCACAACTCATCAGTTGGAACTCTGTTTCTATCTTAGCCGTTCTGTTGCAGTATATGGAAGTATCCCCTTTTACTTTTCTTCACACTTCTCTTTCGATGCAGGACCAACGCACTATCGCCTGCTGCACGCCGACCTGTTCCAAGCACTTCGCACTCCCAGCCCCGCGCCTTCCGGTGCAAAGCCTTTGGCCGTGCTGCCTGCAGGACCTTCCGAGGAATTTTTTGGGTGCCCTGCTGTTAGGTTCAATCACGTATCAGCAATCGTAGCTTTTCTTCCCCTTTTGAAAACCCTGACGCCTTTAGGCCCAGGTTCGCTTCACGTATTAGCAGCCGTAGCTTTTCTCTTCTGATTCCAAAACATCACCACTCAAAATTGGAATTTTGGGCGTGGTCTACGGTTGCAGCGACATCTACAGAAATAATGCAGATGGCTATGGTTTTACCCGAGGCTTAATCCAGTGATGCTGCTTGTCGCAGATGTTCTTACATTTCCTGCCATGTCCCCCGCTGCTGACCAGGACCTGCCGCAACTCCTGCCGCTGAAGTTCCCGACCGCAATCGATCTCCAGGCGCGAGTGATGTAGATTGTCCAACTGCACGTTGGTGTGCTGCTATCGGTGCACGTTTGCGTTGCGCTTTGTTCCCCCGTCTTCCCGTGCCTGCAGGTCGACGGGCAATCTTTGTGGGCAACCTCCCTGCGAACGTTGACATGGAGAAGCTCCGCGTCGACTTTGCGCTTGCTGGACCCATTGCGAAAGTTGACGCTGCTTGGCTGCGTTTGTTGTCCACCCCTCTTCTCTCTGCCTCCCCGTTTGTTTTGCTTGCCAAGTTTTTCCCTTGTGTTTTCCTTGCCAACGGCTTCCCAGGTTCGTCCGAAGGGTGACCGTGCGACAGCGACCGCCCACTACCAAGAGCCGGCTGGGGCAGCTGCAGCCTTGCAGTGGAATGGCGCATGGTACGCCGGACGGCGTGCCGTTGTAGAGTACGCGCGCAGAGGCTAGCCCACAGTACCCAGATGTCACACGTCCTCACTGACTTCCGTTCGCCCTACTAGTGGTGTTTTTTTGACATCAATGCCTCTGCGCGGTGATGCCTGCGAACATCTTTGCCATACTGTGCGGTCTGCAAAAAAAAGGTTTCCGCACGCTGCTCCGCTGAAGCCTCAGCACCCCTCAGCAACCAAGCAAGATTCGCTTTAACAATGTCCTCTGTTCGTTTCCCGGCATGTCCCTGTCGTGCTTGATGTATCCGTGTCCTTTCGCAACGATCCTTCAACCCCTTCCCCCCCTTCCCCCCAAAAACTAACTAACTCCACGGCCCCGGCCCGAAAGGTTAGTTTCCGAGCGGTGAAACTTTAGTTTTGAAACCTTTGTTTTCGGGGCAGAATTCTAACCCTGGTTGAAAACCTTTATTTTTCGTCTCAAAACAAACCTTTTCCGAGCGAAAACGTTTCTAGTTTAAAACGTTTGTTTTTTGGGCTGGAAACAAACCTTTTTTTCCATAGTTAGTTTCTTTCTCCCCCCCCCAGGTACCGAGCCGCAGGTTTCACAACTAATGTTTTCTCCTTCAAATCTATTTTAAACTAACCTTTAAAACTTGAATTTAAAACAGGGGGGGTCATCAGCCCTCCACTTTAAGAATTCCGGACTTGACAAGGGCAGGGGGCAGGGCGAATCTTGGAGAAGGCCAATCCCTGAAGAATACCTGCCTCGTCAGATAGGTCGCCGTTTGGTCTGCCGCAGATTCTCTCATGAGTGATCATTCCATTCGACAGTTTTGTATGTGGAGATCGAGTGCCCTTTGTGTTTGACACCTTATCTCTATATAAATTTAAATGGTTACACATGGTCACATGTATATATATATATATAATAATAATGATAATAATGATAATAATAATAATGATTATAATAATGATAATAACAATAATAATAATGATAATAATAATATAAATAATACAATAATATATATATATATATATGTATATGTATATGTATATGTATATGTATATTTATCAATATACACACGGCCCAGCTACCAGAGCCCACTGGTTCAGGTCGTTTGCTGGAACTCTCCAAGACTCACGGGCACCGTGTCTCAGAGCTTCGGGCAGCAGTGCATGATATGCTTGGGACTGATTTGCAGTCGCTTGGCTCATGGCAGAAAGGACTTGCAGGGTGCTCTTGGAATCTGGGGGTGCCCTTTTGTTGTTCTTGTTCCCGGTGAGCCATTGGCCAAGGTCATTGATGTTCATTCCCAATATTCGAGCAACTTTCAGTGATGAGCAGCAGGCCCACTGGTTGCCTCGAGCAGAAGGATGGGAGATCATTGGCTGCTATGCGTGGCTCTCAAACTGACACAAACCATTCACGTTCTTTCGGAAGTGTGTAGGTTTGTCGACATTATTGACCACGAAGGAAGGTCTTACTCATTGTTATCAGCCAGGATTTCAGGAGACGATTCCATCCGAGGCTCAAACGGAGTTAGGTCACGGAAGCAATGTGCGTGCTTTGGAAACCACGGCGACATTTGTTGCAGAAACTTAATCTGCATTCAAGTGTGCACAGAGGAGCATTTAATCTCTGATGGCTGGAATTCGGACTATAACTTGTTGTGGCTTGTTGTCAGCATGTCAATGGAACAAGTCACAACACTTTTGAAGGCTGCAGCTCTGCCAAGGACTCTGATGAGATTGAGATACATAGCCCCTCATTGACCAGCAATTCGGCAGCAAAGACTTGAACGATTCATATGCAATATATTCCATTCACCCTGTGGCCCTGTGATGGATTGCTGCAGGTACAAAGTGGTGGCCTGGAGCCATGGGCAGGAGCTACCAAGCCCCAAACATCCAGCATTACCAAGCTATCTGAGCCAATCTAAGCTACCTTTCCATACCTTTCCCATGTTTGATCTGCTTAAACGTGGAGAGTTCAGAGTTTGTCAGGACTGCCAACTATGCCATTGTCTATGCACGTTTGATTGTGGATGGACGGGACTTGGGCATTCACAACTTCATGGTCCAGATCCGTGACCTGCAGACGCACCAGCCAATGCCGGGTGTGGAGGTTGGAGATATCGGTCCAAAGATTGGCTACAATAATCAGGAGCTCCGTCATGGCTCCATGCCACACACAATTTCCGATTTCCTTCGATTTCGATTTCCATGTCCCATGGGGACATATGGGGACATGGCTGTGCCCAGGACAATGGCTTTTGCCGTTTCAATCGTGTTCGGATTCCACGGACACACATGGCCATGCGTCATGTCACCCTGCATTCCGATGGACGTTACGAAGCAAATGCAGGTCGGCGAACAGCACCTTCCCCAGCAACCAGTGAGAAAATCAAGATACAAGTGGCACAAGTTGTACTTGAAACAAGGTTTTGCTTAAAACCAAGGACACACTCCAGTGTTCCATGTAGCTCGCTGTCCAGGGCCATGTTAAGCGTGACATCTAGGATGTTGTCTATCATTGAAGGGTGAAATGCAGAAGGGGTGAGTGAACAGAAGTGGAGTGAGCAGGGATGTGTGCACTTCTGTGTGTTGTTTCTGTATGGATGTGTTCATGTGTCCTTTCCATTGGGAAACCAAGGCATCTTATTCAGCCATGACTGGAGTGAGAGTGGAAATTGTTCTCACCACAGGTAGCTTGGATGTATTTACTTACACAGTTGCAGATCTTACAGAATTCCATTCTTCGGAAGTTTGGAGACTTCACATCAAAGTCAGGGTTGTGTCCAGCTTCATGATAGGTCGATGGCATAGTGGCAAAAGAAGGGTTTTCGAGCTTCTGAAAGGTATGTGGCTTTGTTACCAGCACGTGTTTATTCTGAATTTTCTGTCGTTAGGATATGCCCTGAGTATGGCATGCACAATTGCCATTCGCTATTCTGCAGTGCGGCGGCAAGGCTTTACCAGCTCTTTGGCTTAGAATTGCGGAGTTTACCCATTGCAAGCTGCAATGTGCTTGCACTTGAACTCCACAACTCGGCAAGGTAAAGATGATGGTTCAGAGATGTGCGTTCTGGACTACACAATGCAACAAGAGCGCTTGTTGCCTTTGCTGGCCACCGCTTATGCCTTCCATTGCGAGCCTCGTTTCATTCATGGAATTGTTCATGCAAGAACATGTTCTCCTTCGAGCTTGAACCTTCCATGATACCGTTGAAGATCGTTGAAGTACATAGTTCATTAATGTTAATTATGAGGTAAGTTGTTCAGTGAGCAAGCGATATCAATTCATAATTTTGATAAGATGGCTAAGGCAGCAGCCACCATGAGAGCAATCCTTGCATCTGGGGATGCTGCGACCTTGCATGTTGCATCCTCTGGCTTGAAAGCGTTGTGCAGCCGGATTGCTGGAGGTGGACTGCTTTGTTTTGGCATTGCATTAGTACCGCTGCCACCCACAGCTTAGTAACTGGTTTCAGCCTGAATTTAGGATTTGAGGATGTGGAATGCAGAAAGCAACCTTTGGCAAGAGACGACACATACAGACCTTGCCATCTTTCTGAGCTGTTGCAGATGGCATTGAGACCTGTCGGCGTGCATGTGGCGGGCACGGCTACTTGGCAGTGTCTGGCCTGCCGGAATTGCTGGGCAGCTTGGTTCCAGTTGATTGAGCTGTTTGCCAAAGGTACAACTCAGCTATGTTTTTCTGTGAATCCAAACGAAGTAACGAAGGGTCTTTCCCGTTATGCTGCCTCAATAGGCACCTACCTGCAGAATGTCACCGTCGAGGGTGAAAACTACATGATAGCACAGCAGACAACGAGGGGGTTGCTGAAGCTTGTGTTAAGCCCAACGTCCTCGGTCTTTGTAAATGCCTGGGAAGGCCAGCGCCTTAATGGTACCATCACATATGCACCTCAGAGAACACATGCAGGCACAGGACGTGAGACACTTGTGAACGTTGAGAGGATGGATGCGGAAAGTTCCGAGGTGAACACTCGGCCTACCTCCACTCGCAGAGCGTCAGACTTTCGCGATGTGAAGCGCAGACTTCTAAACATTTTCTGTCAATGGAGTTGCAGTGCGAAGCCTGGAGAGATTTAGCAGGTTTTTCTTTTGCCAAACAATCCAAAGGTGAGGAACCCTGAATTCAGTGAATTTCACGACAGATGGTGGCCGTAGCACGTACCAGGCAGCCTACTGTCAGAGAGCAGCTTGGCTTCTTTATCAGTTGCAAGAGCGCCTGCAAACTGCACAGGCGCCAGACAGGATGTGGACGGGGGAAATTTTTTTAATGACTGAAGCCTGAAACAACCCCGTGGATTCTACCGCCTAAGGTCATCTCCACAGCCTTTGCAGCTAGAGATGTTCTTTATTCTTGCAATCCTTCCCTTGTTTCTCGTTGTGTTGATAGCTTTGAGGCGATTGAAGATGATTTCAGAAAGTCTGGCAGGACAACTCGTAGTCTTGTTTCCAGACGTTTGCGTTCATTTGTAGCTAATTTTGACCCATTTGACCATTTTCGACCTACAGCAGTATCTATTTGTTTTCGACCCGTTGGCATATTTTGGATTTCCAACGGCAGGCTGCTGGAGCCTCGTCAGTCGATGCCTGGAACGCTTGCTGTCCTGATGTGATCCGCGTGTCGGAAGCACACTGTTTTTATGCACCTTGGGTGCAAAGATTTGTGCCATGCTGATCATGCTGCCTTGCGACTCGCCTGTTTGTTTCGTCTCCTTGTGCCCCAAACGTCACAAGTCCATTCTCTATCGCTGACATCTCTGGGTCTCCGTCGGTCTTTTGATCCTGAATGGTGTCATTTGGCTTGGTGGTGATGGTGACAGGTCACCTGGACCAAATGATCACATCACAAGTTAAGGGAACTTGTGCCAAAAGCTCTTGCGATCCCACTTGATCACTGATTTGCGTCAGGCCATGTGAGTCTAGTGCTGGCTCTTTGATATCCCTCGGCCTTGCCTTGCCTTGATATCTTCCACTCGGCCTTGTAACGCAGGTCTTGGTTCGCAGCTTTTGGAGCACCATCGTCCAATTGCAGCAATTGGGTCAGTCACCCATTGCAGCTGTGCCTGGCCATGGAGAATCTGTGAAAGACGTGTCAGGTTGCACAACAACATGAAGGAAACCCATACTATGTGTCAATGCTGTATTTACATTGTATTTACATGTATATTATTATATAATTTATATACATATGCACACGCATGAAGAGGTGACGGTCGAGGACTTCACTGCCACAAGGATAAGGTCCAATAGTCCAATTCCTTTCCCTTCGGAGACTTCAACAATTTGAATTCAAGGTGGGTGGAGGGCACGTGTAAAGAAAGCAGACAATCAAATGGTTGTGGCAGGTCTAATATTGTCTCTGCTATTTTGTCAGCTTTGGAAAAACCATATGGAAAATCCCAAAGAACCTTCGTTGTTACTGGTATTGCATAAACTACACACACAATACATATATATATATATTTATCATTATTTATCTATATTATATGTATCTTATATTATATACCTATATTATATGTATATCAATATATCACAAGATAAGGTTCAACGGTTCATCCGAGGTCTTGGAGAATTGTTGCCACCTCTTTGCTTTGCAGCTTGGAGAATTTCTGACACCTTGTCCCAGCATGTCACAGCGCATAGGAACTGGGCAGTTCTCGTCGCCGGGACACTCAGGTGGTGGATGAGAGAAAACATGGGCGATTTTCTGGAGAGTGGTTTTCTGAGTGCCCAGCAGGTGGGGGCACTCTGACTCGACACTGTGCAGCTGCGTAGCTTTGTGTCACCGTCAATTTGACATTGTCATCACGTAGGTCCTATAGGTGTAGTTGTGTCAAAGTGTCCACAATAGCAGCTGCTGGTTTGGAACTCTTGCCTCGTATAGGCTGGACTTGTGAGACAAGCTGTACAAGATCTGTTACCAGTCACTTGGATGAGAAGATATGACACAGTTGGCACTGCTGATTCGGATGGCATATGATGGCATGATATCTGATATGACCTGAGGCCAACTGGATAAGATGTGCTATTGCCATCTATTGCCCTAAGACAAAAAACACCAACAAATGATGGAGTTTTGTGGAACCATTTCCCTCATTCTATCGTCTTTCCAGGTCTTGCGCGCTGACGCGGTGCCATTGGTAGATGCATGGGGTCATAGTGACCATTGCCTCAACTCGGCCCTGGGACGTCGCGATGGGCGTGTGCAGCTTGTCGGAAATGAGTTGTTTTCACATCCTGAATGAGGTCTGAAGTGCTGTAAGCGCTTTTGTTTCCTACTCTGAAGTTGGTTTGGTGTGTGCTGCCACCTGCAAACCTTTTGCCTAGAGTGAGTCTGAGTGCTGATGCAATTCTGTAAGATGAAACCCTAGGCTTGACAAAGCAGCAATCCATTTTTTTGTGCCACTGGTTTCAATTGGATTCTGCTGAGGTATGAAGCGCTATGGGAGTCTGCCCAAGCCAACGTGAATCCGATGAACAAGGAGGAGGCAGGATCTATTCTATTATTATATATAAGGATTGAACACTGATGTGTTACCTAAATCAGCCAGGACACCTTTTACATTGGCGCCTGTGCTTCCGTCCTATGCCTTGTGCTATTTAGGATTTTTTTGTTGAAGCTGTGATTCACGGGCAGATGTGGCCGATCAGTTCACTGAAAGGTATCTCCCGCCTTCCATGAATCTCTCCTTCCAATGCGAAGCCCGGCTCAGAGCAAGCTTTGAAGTGTCACGCATCCATGTAATGTGCAGTGCGATCCCAAAGACAGCTGCCTCTCGGGGAAATCCTGTTTCGGCAGATAGGTCAGCAATCAATTTTGTACTGCGTTGCATGACGACTGCTGATTTGCTTGTCAGAGACGCATTTCTTTTCGAGAAAAAGCGGCTGTGCAACTCCCACTCCAAGTCTTTCCAAGATCAGCATTGCAAGATGACTGACTTTGAGCTGTTGATAGTGGTAATAGTGGTCGTTGACCTGTCTGCCCTGTGAATTGACCGTTGCAGGTTGCTTGTCGTCCTTCTTGTTTGACTCCAAGCATGGGATGGAAGGGGGGCCGGTTTGCAGGGTCATGCAGGGTCAATGTGTTGCAAAATGCCAACAAAGAGAGGCCTCGTTTCATGGGCCTCTACAGCCTTCAATTTCCAAAGGCTTGGAGCGCTGCAATGTGAAAGGGTTGTTGCCATGGGCGAACCACTTGTGAATCGTGGTTCGGACATGTTTGAACTTGAGATTTTACTTTCAAGAAAAGAAGCCAGTAGTCTTGCTGTTTGGATAGATGCTTATTCAGGCTTATTCTGCATCCTTAAGAAATCAGCAGACACCTGTGTCAGTTCGCATTGCCTGATCAGGAGCGAGTGCCTGCCTACTTGGTGGTTTTCGAAAATTTGTTTCCGGCAGGCTGGGAGACACAGCTGAACTTTTCTTTCTGCATTTTCTTGCCTCTGTCTTTGGCTGGCGATAGAGAAGAGCTTTGGCAGTGATGAATTTTGGGCGGAGCTTTTTTGCAAATCTGAGTACTGTGAGTCTTGTGAGTGTGATGACTCGTGACATGGAGCTGCAGGATTGAAATTTGAAGCAAAGTACGATCTGAAGGCCTTGGTGCAGAAGCTGCAAGAAGTTTGTCAATGATATGTCCGGTTTGCCCAGGGCGTATTGGGTTCCCATCGCTATGTAACAGCTGAGCAGCGGGCGAGTGGAGTAGAGGTGCTGAAGGACTGCTTGTGACGTACTGAGTTACTGAACATGTTGCAATCTCCATTGCATCGTGCCAGAAGACTGGAGATCTTTTTTTCGGAGAATCGATTGGTCAGTAGATATTGGGGTCAAGAACTACAGGGGTGCGAAATATTTCCCTTTTTGGTCCTCTTCCAGGGCTAGAGCACATGAAACGCCTGTAAAACCATCTGTAAACGCGCTGGTTGACAGAACTTCCTGGTGATCCAGCATGATCCAGCTTTGTATAGGCCACAGGTAGTTGACACGTCAGGTTTCAGCCAGCAATGGATTTCAGTCACTCTCTGCATTCGGTACACATTCTGTACGGTTGGCGAATGTGGGGCCTTTGCAGTTGCCAACTGCCATTCGTTTCAGATGTTAGGATAGAAACTTCCTTGAGCGACAGCCATTGCGCTTGGCGTCACCGGAGCTCCTGGCACAAATGGAGAAGGAGCTTTGGGCCTATCCGGCCTTGGAACCTCACTGTACTAACATTCTTCTAGCGTGGCAAAGCCTACCTCCCCCCACAGATGAGCATGAGATTAGCATGAGCAACATAAAGGAACAAAGCAAGCGCTGTATGTCCCCCACGAAGCAGTTTCAGTGTCGCAGGACGTTGACTTCTTAGAGCAGCATGGGCGAATCGACTACTCTCTGCTGTCAGACTGACATGCTTTGAGCTTTGATACCGACTGGCATGCTTTGACTCGGCGGGCTGACACGGCTTTCGGGGCTTTCGGCTTTCTGTTCAGAGCAAACTTTTGATCGCCAAATGGGAGTCTCAACATTCAGCATGTTTCAGCATGTTAGACTTAGACACAGGTCATCCAACTTTCATGTTGTGGGCAACAAGATTGCGCGTGCCGCAGTTTGCATCGAGCCCGGGAGACCTCACAATGAACTGATAAGCCAACGCCATGCAACATGTCGGACATGTCCTTTAAGCCTGGTTGCGTAGTCTGCCACAGTGAGGAGGCCTTTCTCTTCGAGATTTTTTCTGGCACCTTCCATTCAGCTTGTCGTCATGCTGCCTGTCAGAGCTGTTTGGAGAATTGGGTGGTTAGTTGCCTTCCGCACTGCCGCAGTGTGTGGCAACTACGAGTCCCATGCCTTTTTGAAGGATGCTCCAGATACATACCTCAAGCCCTGGTACGACTTTCTTCACATGCACGAGTCCTGGCAGATGCCATAGACACTGGAAACACATGGCCCAGCTTGCCCAATGTAGACATGGTGTGTCCTCGATGTCAAAAAGTAAAAGACCAGGTCTATGTGAACAAGTCCTGTGGTGACGGAGCTTGTGAGGAGTGCTGGCTGTCAGATTTGGAGCCCAAACTCAAATGGTGTGAGGCAAACTACACATTGGATGTCCCTTGCGGCTACAGAGGCTGCCCTGAAGGCTGTTCTGATGTTCTGATGCGCTTTGAGAGTTCTTTGCTTCCCCAGGTTACTCATTATGTCGAGAAGGTGAAGGCGGAACTGGCTGGCTTTTCGACTCGGTGGGTGCATGATGCTCCTCCTTGTGCTCCGGGACCAGTTTGTCCAGTTTGTCAATGCATGACATATGCCTTGCTATATTGTCTTTGTGGACATGCGGCTTGCAAGCAATGCTGGGAAGCTTCAGTGGAAGCGCAACTACATTGGTGCAAGGAAAACTTTGCATTTGCTCCAGAGGAGCCATGGCACGGCAATTGTACATGTGCCTGGACTTTACATTTTGTCGGCCCGGAGCTTCTTAGCCCGATACATCTTTATGCGCAAGAACTTCAGAATCAGTTGCGTTTGGTGCAACAATGCTCCATTCCTCGTGGAAACAAAGGTCCCAAATGCCCAATATGCAGTGAGGTTTCTTTGGCCCTACTTTGTGGTGCTGAAGATGTAGCAGAAGGCCATTCGTCCCATGCAGCCCATGCAGCTTGCGAACGATGTTGGGCTCGATGGGCTGAGGAGCAGCTGCAGGAGTGTTTCCTCTACAAGAGAGCTCCAGCTCGCTGTTTGTGGCCAGCTTGCTGTGCAGACATGGCCAGCGATGCGAGCGACAGTCTTTGGCAGTTGAGCCAACGTTCCAGCTCGAAACTCAAAGGCCTCATGGATGGTCTCCGAAGGAGAAAACGTCTGCAGAACAACCCACTGTACCCAGCGGAGTTTCAAGTAGAATGCCCGCAATGCGTGGGCCTTGGCTACATAGGCGCGGCAGAAACAACTCTTAGTAGCTTCTTTTTTCCGTTGTGGTGCTTTTTGGCAGGGCCATTAGTTGAGGCAATTGTTGTAGTGTGAGAAGAAGCAGTCCCAGACAACATGTTTCTACAGTTCACATGCAGGCTTTGACACCGTGATGTGCTTCCTGTGCGAATATCAGTGGGAGGACACTGGCCAGCCACCGGAGATATGCCTCGCGCTCGAAGGAGATGAACTCCAGCTTTGTCCAGGTCTTCGTGTCCGTAAATGTCCCAAGTGCAGGGAATACATAGAAAAAAATGGTGGCTGTGATCATATGACCTGCCGATGTCGCCATCAATTTTCCTGGACAACACTCAAACCTTGGGGTGTAGTCACCCAGTAGGTCACAAACCTGCAGCTTTGGACAAGCCGCCGGACATACTTGTACAGATGAGTTCCAGCTTGCGATCAAAGTGAGCTCGGGGTTGACGTTGTTTGCATCCTGAGTTTGCCGACGTTATCAGCTTTCGGGTAATTTAGATGTTGCCCTTGGCACATGTGCAGCTGTACAGATTTCAGTAGCCGGCTGATCTACAGTACTGGGCGGAAAATGCACCAGTGAAATTGTGCAAAAGCAGATAAGTTGGTCATATGAGTCATATGAGTCATTTAATTATGCAACACTGCAACACGAGCAAGATCGCCAAAGAGTCCGTACATACACAACAAGTCTATCAGGGTGAGGATCAAAATTATCAGACTTGATATTTTCTGCCCCATGAATGGCACCTTTGCACACAGGTTGGGTGTGTCTGTGACCTCAGAGGAAAAGCTGCAGGAGACTTTGGCAAAGTTTGGGGTGGGACTTTGATGGCAGAATTTCAGTATGTCCATGTCCCTTGCTGGTTGGATTGCAGGTAATGAATCCTTCTCACTTTCTATTGCTGGTTCTATATATATATAATATATATAATATATATATAATATATATATATATATTACGAAAGCCAGCTAGCTGGCTAGTTGCTGTTTGCGAACGAAGTGAGAATAGGGGGTGTGGGGGGGGGTGGTTGCCGAAAGGGAACGAAATCTCGCCGTGCCCCTGTGTTGAGCGCCAGAAAATGGAGCATTTTGCTGGATTATGTACAGTACCACTAGGTAATTTGCTGACGGTGGGGTATCGATTCCCCCTAGGTCCGCCTTTTTGGTGGCCGGAGAGACCATGAGGATGTATTGGAAAATACAATGAAACTGCAGGAGAACATGATAACGATCAGAGGAAATCGTACAAAATCCCCTGGAAAACGGACGAAAACGGACGAAAACGGAGTGAATGCTAGGAACAAACCATGGAAAATCCCTTGGAAAATGGAGGAAACCGGAGCAAACCATGACGATGCAGTAAACATGCTGGAAAAAGACAATGAAAGTGCAGGAAAATGTGATAACAACGAGAGGAAATGGTGCAAAAAGGATCGGAAAATGAAGGAGACAGGTAAAACTCTTGGATTAATATTAATATTGAAAAGGTATGAAAATGCAGGAAACCAGAGGAAATGGTGCAAAAACCTATGGAGGAAAGAGGTGAACATGATAGGAAACACGTAGTAAAAAAATGCTGGACAAAACATATTGAAAACCCACGAAGAGGATGTATTGGAAAATACAATGAAACTTGAGCAAAACATGATAACGATCAGAGGAAAATGCTAGGAACAAACCATGCAAAATCTGTTGGAACATGGAGGAAACCGGAGTGACTGCTAGGAACAAACTATGACGATGCAGTAAACATGTTGGAAAAAGACAGTGAAAGTGCAGGAAAATGCGATAACACCAGAGGAAATGGTGCAAAAACGATCGGAAAAATCAAGGAGACGGGTAAAACTCTTGGAAAAATACATTGAAAATGCAGCAAACCAGAGGAAATGGTGCAAAAAGGAGACGGGTAAAAATCTTGGAAAAATAGATTAAAAATGCATGAATAGACTGAAAACCCACGAAGAGGATATAGATGATATAGAAACTGCAGGAAAACATGATAACAATCAGAGGAAATCGTGCAAAATCCACTGGAAAATGCTGGAAAGATACAGTGAAGGAAAATGTGATAACAACCTGGCAGGAAAATGTGATAACAACCAGAATAAAGGGTGCAAAATCTGTTGGAACATGGAGGAAACCCGGAGCGACTGCTAGGAACAAACTATGACGATGCAGTAAACATGCTGGAAAAATACAGTGAAAGTGCAGGAAAATGCGATAACAACCAGAGGAAATGGTGCAAAAACGATCGGAAACTGAAGGAGACGGGTAAAACTCTTGGAAAAATATATTGAAAATGCATGAAATGCAGGAAACGAGAGGAAATGGTACAAAAAGCCATAGAGGAAAGCGGTGAAAATGGTAGGAAGCATGTAATAAAAAAAGCTGGACAAAACACAGTGAAAACCTACAAAAGAGAAGAAAGTAACCACAGGAAACGGTAGAAAAAGCAGTGGAAACTGGAAGAAAAGTTGTGACAATGTTAGGAAAACGGTGTACAAGCTAGGAAATGCTTGTAACAACTAGAGGAAACGATGTAGAAAACAGTACAACATGGAGGACACGCGTGAACATGCTAGGAGGCATGTAACATGTTAGAAAAATACAGTGAAAACCTAGGAAAATGTTATAACTAAAAATGCTTTAAAAATATAGTGAAAACCAAGACAATGTTAACGAGCGGAAACGTTGAGCAGGAAATCCGATTTGGTTTCTGTAGATAATGTTAGATGATGAGCAATGTAGTTTGGTGATAGGAAATAGTGGCTGACTCGCGTACAAGACATTGCCATGAAACCTTGGAGCAAGATGCGGATGGTATAGGAAAAAAGATGTATGAGTTGTAAGATTTTAGAGTTGCATGGGAAAATTGGTTTCATGGTAATCTGTGTGAAGTTAGAAAAGTGTGATTTCGTTCACAGAGTAAGAAAAATAAATACAATCTGCAGATTAGAGTATTTATAATGCTTAAAACTGTTTGACGTTTTTTGGTGCCTCCCTGATTCTGGTAGTTTTGTGATAAGAACTACAAAAACGTTCTACTGGTAAACGGAAGGAATAGTCTTTCCGGTTTAGAACTGAGTCGACTGTCAAGTGATGCATAGGCTCCAGGCCTCTGGTTATTGTCACAAAGCATTGGAATGAAGATTGCGCCCAGGAGCCACCTAGGTTAGGAGACAAATGCTGTAATATCATTGTAAGAGGCCGTGCTGAGAAGGCTGAAACGGAACTAAAAGTGAATCTTGTACTAAAACATCGAGAAAGAATTTGAATCTTCTAATGGCAATGACGGGAATGATATGCATCTGTACGTCCGTGATAGTATGTGTGCCTTTTAAAAGGGATGTTTGGCGAGTGTGATAGCTGAGAAGATTTTCCGGGATGCCAACAATTATCTCTATCGATGTCAGGGATGATGCTATTCCGCGACATTCCTGTAAAATACCTATTTTCCAGACCCTTGGGGGGTGGGGGGGTACCCAGGTCTGTAAATGGCCTAAATATATATACTTTTGATTTTGACTGCATGTTCGCCACTGTTCTATATTTCCCGTGGGTTTTGAATTGTTTCCCTCGATTTTCATTCGTTCTTATACCCTTTCTTACGTATGTTATAATATTGTCTTGGGTTTGCACTGCCCATTTTGCGAGTAGAGCTATGTTTTGATTTCTCACCGTACGGCCAAAATGTTGCGGAACTTCGCGGAGAAGCATGGACCACGATTCTGGGGAGAAAACAATTTAGACTCTGAGAGGTCACATGACCACTGTTCACACAAAAAAACGGATATTATTTATCTACAATAGGTGGGAGCAAACTTGCGCTGTTTTAAGATAAATGAGCAACCAAAGGCGGATTTACGGAACTTGAGATAGAACTTTTCACAATGCCGCAGTACATTGTAGGAAACATATTTGGATATAGAAGTTACAAAATCGTGGAGTTTACCCTAAAAAGGTCCATTTAATGATTGGAAGATTATGACCCGATAGCAATTGTTGATGTTGGGGCGCTTCATGTTTGAGCCATGCCATATGGATGAGGTGGAGTTTCACGCGCCCCCGCGCGAGTCAAAAAGCAAGCGCTGGCATTCGTTCCACCCCTTCTCAGGTAATATATATATATATATTATATATATAATATATATATATAATATATATAATATATAAATTATATATAATATATATAATATAAATATATATAATATATATATATAATATATATATATATATAATATAAATATATATAATATATATATAATATATATATATAATATATAATATATATATAATATATATATATAATGATTCTATAAATTATATTCTGTATGTCAGATTGTTCAGCTGGTGTCAAGACTAGTTGCTAGAGGAATCCAATGACTCGGGAGGCTGGTAGCTCTGGTAGCTCTGGTGCCAGCGGCATCCGGACCATTTCGGTCCTGGTCTCAGAGTCTCAGAGTTAGCGGCCGACCGCGGCCGGCCGACCCTTTCGGGGTCTCTCCAAGGCTGATGGAAAGGAAGGCGAGGTGCTCTACATGGGCATCATCGACATCCTGCAGGAGCACAAAGTCGTTTTCAGATCTCACGTGAATTTGACGGTTTTTGCAAAGTTTTTCATAGTTGAGTGGTAGGTAGCCCTTTTGCGTTGCCTGAATTGTCTTTGTGAACTCTGGCCACTTGGGTGTTTTCTCTGGTCTGTTTGGAGCCAGGAGTACACGAACACAAAAGCCATGGAGTCGAGACTGAAATCTTTTCAGTACTCGCTGAAGAAAAACTTTAGGCCTGAGATGGCCTGAGCATGCCTAAGCTGAGGCGGAAACTGCCTTGATTTGTGCCGACAGGAGGCAATCAAACGTGTCAGACGTATCCACGGCGGTGTCTTCGATGCCTCCTTCACACTATGTTTGCAGCCCCAGTTTGGAAACCAGTTTGGAAACTTTGGAACTGGAACTGCTTGTGCTCCACAAAGCCAACGACCTGGTGGTGAGGCCAAGCGTTTCCTGGACTTCATGCGACAGATCTTTCGCTGACACTGGCAGATCGTGAGTTTCACCTTGGCTCCCAGTGGTTGGGACGTTTTCTGCTGAGTTTGACGATTCTTTGATATCTTTGATCTAGATTCATCCTTGTATATAACATAGTGCGCCCGTTTGGCGTTCATACGGCCAATGACCAGCCTCCAGTGCCTCCAATGCTTTGATCAAAAGTGCAGAGCTGCGATGGTGAAATGATGGCATTGAGTGCCGTTGAGTGCCGTTGAGTGCCGTTGAGTGCCGTTGAGTGCCGTTGAGTGCCGTTGAGTGCCGTTGAGTGCCGTTGAGTGCACAGGGCAAATGCACACACCAATACAGATCTGAGATGATCTGAGATGATCTGAGCTTTCCCAATACCTCGTCAAAGACAGCAATTTCAGGGGTCAATTTGGAGCTCACCTGGATTGGGATGATTGGGATATGTTGATGCGTTGGAATCTCGCTCTGCGTGTGGGTATAGTCTTGTTGCGAAGGCTCGACGAGTCACGTTGTTTTTCCAACTTCTGTTTGACATTGATGGCCTATTTCGATAGCAGAAATGTTTCTCGAACCAGTCAGTAAGATGATATTCTGCCAAGATTTTATCATGGTAATTCTTGCGCGGTGGCATGGTCAGAGTCCAGAACCATGCTGTGTGGCTTCAAGTTTCACGCACAAGTCGTGTTGCTGCTTTAGTTGCCAGATTGAGCATTATAGAATTAGACACGACTAGGCAATCTTTTCTCCATGCCCTGGAAAACAAAAGACTGCTGGCTTTGCGGAGGATTTTTCTGTCAGTTTCCTTCAAGACATCAAACATGAATTGCAAGAATGATGACGAACAAGCATTCAATTCCTCTCATTTAGAATATTTTTTGCTATGGGCCATGAGTTTGTGGTTCATTATCTTTGCAGGCGCCGAATTTTGCTTCCCGTGTCAGTCCAATCCCTTGCTAGATTTCCAAGGGTTCTTCTCCATCACGAGGCAATAGTTGAGTAAAGGCAGCGACCAATGATGGCAAGACTGTCAAGACTTGACCTGCCGTAACCGACCCGAGTTTTGGAGTAAATCAGACATCGATGAATCGATGGTGTGAAATCCTCTGCAGGTCTTGCATCAAGATCATCAGGTGTACCAGTGCCTTGGCAAAACGGATTTCGGGTTTCCCTCCGGTGCTCCGCCTTCAGGGGTTTCAATTGAACGTCGTTCCTGTCCACAGACTACAGATGAATCTGCAACATTCTGCAACAACGAATAGTTCAGCAAGGTGTAGCAGTGTAGCAACTAGAAAGACTAGAATCTTTGATCATCTTTGCTCCGATTTTGTACTTTGTATATCTTTGTATGACCTCCACTATATTACATTATATTACTATATCATACTATATCCACTACGTATCATTACTATATCCACTCCCGAGATCGTCGGTGTCTTGCCATTCTTGCCTCCCAGGAGGAACTCTTCAGTGATGTCTCCTTGGCGACCACCTGTCCAGATGGTCATTGCCAAGTACCTGCAGGGCACACCTGGATCTTGGATCAATCAGTGGATGTGCAGATCCTTGGACGCAAGCAGCTAACGTCTTTCTGTGACTCGATCCGACTGTACTATGGCGACTATTACAATCTACTAACTACTACTAACTATTATAATTGCTATAGCAAGATATGCTAACAATAACAATAACACAGTCGTTGTTTGTTCAGGAGCTGACTTGTGTTTGCTAAGGACACTGACAATCTTTGGCACTGTGAAGTGGGATACCGAAAAGGATGGGCTTGAGCTTCGTGCCTGCTACATTTTGGTGGGCGAAGGTGGCTACTTCCAGGTAGGCTCACGGACGAGACCCATGGAGTTCCTTGGTGTTTTGGGGATCCCACAATCCCACTGTGTTTGATTCCAATGTTTCTTCGTGGTTTGGTGTTTTGACCCAAGGCTTTCTGCAAGGATTTACATCAAGTGCCTTGGCAAAGAGCACATCTGCTTTTGAGATGCTCTGAATGTTTTCCTGCAGTGGGTTGTCTCGATAGGTCATTCAGGCCAGGCAACCAGATTTCTGTTTCCAGGGCTTTGCCGTTTTCTTGGATACAGGCTCAAGTGGAAGTGATGGTACTACGGCTGCTTACAGCGGGGCTGTTGGTAACGCAGAAATCGTCATTGGTGGTTTTGTTGTGCCAGAAGGTTGGACTGCCCTCATAGCAGCCCAAAAATGACGCAGCCCAATGTTGGACTGCCCTCAATTCACATATTACGCAACCCAAAAATGTCCACCATCAACAGCAAACAGCCTGCGATCTGTGGCTAAGGAAAGGGATGGAATCACATGCACTGTTTGGGGACAGATTCCTTGCCAGTGAGGGCGAGGACGGGTCCTTGGGAGTGCCAATATGAAATTGCTTTTTGGCCGATTGCGGACATCCATGTTTTTCGCATTTATTGAGCCAGTTCTCGGCCCACAAGAAGATGTTCAAGTCCTCCCTGGCCCTAAATGCTGATATTACATAATATACATAATATATATATATATATACATACAAATGTGTATGTATATATATATATTTATATGTATGTATGTATGTATATATATATATATACATGTATATACAGTTCTCCGAGTTCCTAATCTTCTCATTGATTACACTTAATCATATGTACACATGTATATCACATGTATCTACATGTACATGTCGTAAGTATGTCGTTTTTGTCTTTTGGGCTTGAGAGGCTCGCGTAGAAATTCACGGTCGACGGATGCTGCGGACCTGGTCACTTTTGGCACGCACGGCTGAAAAAGGCACTGGTCTGTGCCTCCAACTTTTTCTATGCGATGCCAACTATACATAGTATGCCTTGTATAGTGTAAAATACACATGTCTACAGTATATACTGCAATTAGTGTATATTACAGAACATACGTGTATATATATATTACATTAATAATGGCTTGGAGAAAGAAGGAATTGAATTGCACAAGGGATTGGTAGTTTAATGATTGGGGTTTATTTAGATTACCGGGTCTAGTTACAATCCAGCATGACATAGGGATATGGTGAATACAAACTATATATTTAACTATGATAAGTGCAACTAAGTTATACAAATAAGTACATACACATGCACAAATTTCATATACATGCCTACACGTATAAATACCATGCCTTTACGGAAAAATAACCAATGTTTTGTCCATGGCACATGTATAGATGAACAGAAACACTGTTGGTTTTTGAACCTCACACCGGTGCTGATGATTCATGGCAATCGTGTGTTGCAGGTGACACTCAACTCTTCCTCAAGCACGACCCATTGACAATGGGTTGGCGCGTTGGAGATCATGTAGGGCTGCTTGTCAGCAAAGAATGCATGTTGTTTGGGTAATCAGAGGAATCCGCGAGATTCAGAATATTGGGAATACTGTTTGACACGACAAGAGACGCACCTTACACAGTAATGAACCAATCTGGGACGGAATATCCGAATAGCACCACGACAAGACTATTCCACACAATGAAAAACACAGATTTGGCCAGATTCTTGAGACTGCACATTGTGAAGACGGGTCTGTCATATATGTCCTGTCGCAAACACAGCCAGAGATCCATCTTAGGGTGGCAACGACCTCACGTGGGGTTTCACCTGAGCACAAGATCATAGACATCGGCGCCTTGGCATCAAAGCACCCGTTCCAACTGTGGTCAACACAAATTAAACACCTAAGAATTCCCTAGATTTCCAGATTTTTCTATATTCTTCTATTTTATGGTTGAGAACTTGAAGGGAAGCAAGCAAAGAAAAGAAGAAGTTGGCATGAACAAGAAGTGACTACTCTAGTGAACACTTCAGTGAACACTTTAGTACTATAAGCCTGGCCGTGTCATGCTGCGCAGGGGCATGGCCGTGAAAAGGGGCCTTGTCCGTGTGGGCCTCCTGTGCAGCTGCAGGACCTGCGACAGTGTGGCGGTTGGACTTGCACAACGCCACCGGAGGCAACTCGGTGACGCTGCACCAAGCAGTTGTTTTAGTGGAAAAAATATTGGATCATTTAGTGCGCAGCCGGGGTGACAAAACTGAAATTTGCCGTCTCTAAAAGAATGAATGTAGTGGAAGACGGACGCTTGTTACACTGACAGAGTCCATCTTTGGAAGTGGGATGTTGCAAGCGGTGATAAATCAAGCTCAGGTGTTGAGAGAGCACCAGCTTCCAATACCATTGATGGGCCTTCCGGATGCAGTTGAGTCGATGGCCTTTCTGGGTGGGAAATGTGTAACCCAAAACGTACCGAGTGAAGAAGAGAAAACCGGTTGGATGTGGGGGTAAACCATGCAAGTTTTGGGAACGGAGGAACCGAAACAGGATTCTTCGCTGACACATGCTGACACTACATGCATCGTTTCGTATCGTTTTACATGATATCTTGTGACATTTGAATGCAATGATTCGATTGCCGTTAACTTTGCTGGGGATGCTTGTTAGATGTCATGGAACATATAGATTAGGATGGGTCATTTAGTCCGTGCGGCCCTGAGAGACCATTCTGATCCATACACCTTTGAGAACAAAGTACTAAGCATCAGTACAGTAGTTGACATCCACTTCTCAGCGAAGCCAAGGCTTCTGAATACAGAATGGTCAAGCTGGTGCGCGCCATACTGCACAGGCCATGTGTTCACTAAAATCTGCGAAGTGTGGCGACCCAAACCCATCAAATAGTGAAGGAACCTTGATTGGCTTGTGGTAATCTGAGATGAGGGGGGTAAATTCGACTGTGTCATAACTGCACTGCATTTGTTTCTTCAGCACAATGAACAGCGGCATTTACGAAGATCACCAGGACTGGATGTTTCGAGTCTATCAGTGAGTTCAATGGCCCGTATCCGTGCGATGTGCAGGTGATGGTGATGAGCACTGGCTCGAGGTTCAACTGGCCATGGAAAGTGAAATGTCGCATGTGAAGCTCTTCTGGAACCGTGAGTACTATTCACCCGTGACCAAGGCTGGTGGCAACCAGATGTTTCACATTTTTTCACATTGTGTGATGAATCGATGTGAAGTGCTGCCAAGATTCCACCATTGTTTCAATGGCTCCACGCGTTGCTCAGTGAGCCTGGATTGGAAGGTGGAAGTCTGCCATGACAGCTGCCAGTCTGTGCTGGCCGCCGTCCAATCCTCTGATCTCCAGAACTTCGAAAAGAACGAAGCGCAGGTGCACACAGCCACAGGCCATGCCAAGCTATGCCGCTGTTCCATCGCGTCGCCAGGTTGTTCAGCTCAATGGATTCAAGGGAACCCACCTCCGAATCGCTGCAGAGTTTGAAGCCTTGTCCAACCCTGAGCGATGGCGCTGATTTCGGATGTTGAAATATGCGAGGATTCGGAGGCAGAAAAATGTAGATTTTCTTAGATGTCACTGGATGTGGTCGGACAGCGTGCTTGTCTATGAGTGCCTTTCAAGCACTGAGGAAGAACAGAACAACTCCACACTGGGCTTAGCTCTTAGTGATAAGCATACTGTTATGGCAAGGCTATGCTTGTTCCAGTTCAATTGTAATTTGCGCTGCTGCTGCAGTTCTCCCCGTGATTGTTCTTGACACCTTCCAAAGCCTTCCAAAGGTTTGTGTTTGCCTGCCTTTCACTGCCTTTCTACTTGATTGATTTCATGCCCGAGTTTTGAATTCAACATGGAGGAACTCGGAGGAAGCCTATGGCATTATGGAATCCTTTTGTTCGTGAGCGACTTAGGCTGGGCTGTTGCTCTACGAGATCCAAGCATATGGGAAGGAAGTTAATGTGACACCTCCGGATGCGCCTGGCTGAGAGCTTCCTGTGTCAGATGGATCAACTGCAGAGTCTGCAGACCTGACTCGCTGTTCGAGAAACAAAATCAGAAGCGTGTGCCCTTCTTGTCAAGTTATGTCAAGTTATGTCAAGTTATGTCAAGTTATGTCAAGTGTCAAGTTATGTCAAGTTGGCATCTGCCAGAGGTGATTCATTTGGACCGACCCCTGGAGCATGAGCACTGGGGTGGCCTCCGGGAGGCAAGCTTTGGACGGCTGTTCTTATGGGACAGGTGGAACTGGCCTTGGGATGTCGGTGATGTGATGTCAGGTAGAGGGCTTCCAGCTGGAGATGGCAGCAGAGGTTGCGCCTCGTTTCACTTGGATGGGACGAGAGATTTTTGGTGTTGGCAGCGCTGGTCACAGTTTGAGTCCAACGTCTGGTGAAGGAGGGCCTTGTCGTAGCACGACTTTGATGCGACTAAGGTGAATCTGAATCGCTCTGTTGTGATCACTGGCGACCACGAGGACTTTTACACTACACGGAAAGGCTGGCCGTTGTGGAGGGTTTCCTATGATTCTTCCGTCAACTTCCGTCTTTTTTCCTGCAGGGTTTCGCACAATGATGGACACGCCACCTGTGCAGGCTTACACACCATTTCTGCCCATGGGGGCGTCATGGACATGCGGTACACCCGCATTGAGTTCTGCCAGAGACTTAGGATTTCAGCTTTTTCTTTGTTTGAGTCAATAACGCGCAATGTGATGCGATATAATATATATATATATTATAAAATTATCCACGTGTTCGGTGCTACAGTGTTACAGGTACCAAACTTGAGGGTTTGGCACCCATGAGTTTCATTTTGACGGTGTCTCCCGGTGTCTCCTGATCGAGGTGGCCAGCAAAACCACATGGGAAAGTATTGCCTCCATTTTCACCATGCCGGACAATGCGCTGATTGCGTCTTTATGGGCAATGCTATTTATGAGTTTCTCGTCAGGTGAACCATGGTGCACCCCGTCCCAATGAAGTGCTTTGAAATGCTTTGAAGCTTTCCAGTGAGAAAGTCAAGCTGAGGTCTGCCCAGATTGGCATCACCGTCCATGGTACCCACCGATCTTTGGTGGAGAGCAACGTTATGTGGGATGTTTCCGCCGCTGGAATTTACACAGAAGATGGCAACGAAATGTTCAATACATTGAGTCCCTTGCCTGATCCTTTCATTAGCTTGTGACCTTGTGAAGAACATGCTTGGCATTTTCAAATGTCTTTTGTATTTGCAAGCCTGTACCAGGCAACAATGTCATCATCTGCTCTTGGCACGAAAAGTGCTCTGGTCCCTGGGATGTACAGCTGAACAATGCAGCAGGCATCTACATGCTGCTCGACTGGTTTGGAGCATTGGTGGTGTTGAAGTTTGATCCAGGGATATCCAGGGTACTTTGTTGCAGTTCATGGGAAAGTAAGGATTGGGATGACAAATAACGTCATCGAGAATCGCGTGGCCGGTTTTGAAAACTGTGCCTTGGCAAACATTTTTCAAGGAGTGGCGACCGCACCTGGAAAAGAAATGCAGATGGCAACCCACAGTTTCTATGGCTGCCCTGTCTCCAAAAAAGTTAGCTGCAACTTCCGAGAGTCGTAGTCAGCAAGACTCATCACACTCCTGATGCAGTCCTGGTCATTTCATGGCATAGATTCATAGATAGTCACTTGATTGTCAAATGAGATGCCGACTCCTTGGCACATCATGGGCTGCCAGGCATTTGGACCCATGGCTCGATCGCCTTGCAGGGGCAAGGCCAAGCCTTGGGCCGAGTTTGTCCACAGCACACGCCCTTCGGGACCTTCCGCGGCAACGTGTGCCATGACAACAACCGCTTTGGGACCGGACGGGGGCGGGGCGGGGCCGCGGACCAGGAAGGGTTTTTCGAGCGCGGAGAAAGCTCAGTCCGGCGTTGTTCGGAAAGACTGCCTTGATCCGTTCGTCGGGAACTAAATAGTATAATTACTTGGATAATCTTCGATATAATCTTCGATACATTGTGGCAGCAGGAATGAACACAGGGTAATGAGCCACACGTGCAAGGGAAAAAGCATCCTGCAGGATCTACTTGGACAACCAGAGGCCCCGCAATCTTGAGAGAGATACGCCGCTTGGAAAGAATCGAGCGTCAAGCACAGAATTGCATGGTGCTGCTTTTCATTCCTGGACAACTTTGCACCGAAGTTTGAAGATGTTTGAAGTTTGAAGCACTTTTTGCTGTTAAAGTTTGAAACACAAATGCTTTTGATACGAAGGTCCGGGGACAGGAGAGAAATGAGCCTTTTGGCCTTTTGCGAAGCATTTACAGTATATCCACTGCCAAGGAATGGCTTCGTGATAGACATGGGTTCCTGTGGCGAATTCACAGAGGATGGTCGCGACAATGGGCTTATCCCTGCGAACGTCATCGAAGACCAGTTTGATTGGCACAATGATTTCGTTGGCCAGTAGCATGGATTTTATATGATTTTATATTGAACTATTGAACTCAATTATTGCAGGGATTATGAAGCCTCCCTGCAAGCTGCTGATATAGTTGCACTAGTTGCATGGTATAGTGTGTAAGTATTTCAGGCTGAGCCTCTGAGACGGACCTTTGCGGTTGTACAGTTCAGTGCTTCCAAGGTATTCCATGGGAGATATATCTTTCCGTCGGCTTGTGAGCGTGAACAACGCTCATGATTTATACTGGAAAGAGTCCAAGAATTTTGCAGATGGATTCTTGGCAGTTCGGCCCTTCGTTGCGACTGTGCAACGGCGGAATGCGACATCCGAAATCGCTTGCAGATGCGAAACCATGGTGACATGTTTGACTGTCCTCTCATTTTTAGGTTATGCAGATGACTGTTCAGTGTCGATCAGCCCTTTGTTTCCGGATTGAGAGGCAAATCTGCAAACACCAATTCAGTGAATACGAGTGGAATAGTATTAGAACTCCACCAATGCCTTCACATGCTTTCACCCTTTGATGCAGTCTTTCTGTTTGGTACGTGGATGTGCATCCAAGGAGTGTCCCATCATATACAAGACTCTCTCTTCCTAAGTGACCCCCACGTGTCACACTCAGTGCCAACTTCTTGGATGAAATTTGCCAACTGACAGGATGAACCGAAGCCTCTTTTGACCTCCGTTCTGGCTTCCCTTGAGGACAGCACCATCATCAAAATTGCCTTGATTGCTGGGCCTGCTGGGCCGCAACTTACTTGCAATTTGCACCCGACCCCTCTACCGTGTTTTCATTTTTGGGACAAATTGAGGCCTACATAATACCAATCCTACAGCACCAGAAAGTACCTCAAACGCAGCTACAATCCCAGTGGAAAAAACAATTCCTCTACCAACAGCTGCTGCATGCCGTCAACCTACAGCACAAGAAACCGCCGCAGACATAGCGCTAGTCTTCGTTGAAGCACCCATTTTTCCAGCATGCACGGCTGTATGTTCCCAACCTACAGCACCAGAAAATACCCCAAACATAGTGACAGTCAGAGTTGAGGCACCCATTTTCATAATTTTCCCACCATATTCTACGGTGCGTTGCCAACCTACAGCACAAAAAAGCACCTCAGCGGCAATCACAGCATCCTACAGCACCAGAACCCGCCCTAGACAAACGGCAATCACAGAGGAAGCATTCATTTTCCCACCATACACAGCTGTATGTTGCCAACCTACAGCACCAGAAGCCACAGTCAAAGCAGCCACTTTCCCAACAGAATTACTGTAGTCGAAGCAGCCACTTTCCCAACATATTGGCCTGTATGTCGTCAACCTACAGCACCAGAAACCACAGTTGAATCAGCCACTTTCCCAACATATTCATGTATGTTGTCAACCTACAGCAACAGAAACCACCGCAGTGGAAGCAACCACTTTCCCAACGTATTCGCCTGTATGTTGTCAACCTACAGCACCAGAAACCACAGTGGAAGCAGCAAATTTCCCCAACATATTTGCCTGTATGACCACAGTCGAAGCAGCCACTTTCCCACCATACACAGCTGTATGTTGTCAACCTACAGCATTACAGCACCAGAAAGCACCTCAGATATAGTGACAGCATGATTGAAGCACCCATTTTTCCAGCATGCACGGCTGTATGTTCCTAACCTACAGCACCAGAAAATACCCCAAACATAGCGACAGTCAGAGTTGAGGCACCCACTTTCATTATTTTCCCACCATATTCTACGGTGCGTTGCCAACCTACAGCACAAAAAAGCACCTCAACGGCAATCACAGCATCCTACAGCACCAGAAACCGCCCTAGACAAGCGGCAATCACAGAGGAAGCATTCATTTTCCCACCATACACAGCTGTATGTTGCCAACCTACAGCACCAGAAGCCACAGTCAAAGCAGCCACTTTCCCAACAGAATTACTGTAGTCGAAGCAGCCACTTTCCCAACACATTGGCCTGTATGTCGTCAACCTACAGCACCAGAAACCACAGTTGAATCAGCCACTTTCCCAACATATTCATGTATGTTGTCAACCTACAGCAACAGAAACCACCGCAGTGGAAACAACCACTTTCCCAACGTATTCGCCTGTATGTTGTAAACCTACAGCACCAGAAACCACAGTGGAAGCAGCAACTTTCCCCAACATATTTGCCTGTATGACCACAGTCGAAGCAGCCACTTTCCCACCATACACAGCTGTATGTTGTCAACCTACAGCATTACAGCACCAGAAAGCACCTCAGATATAGACAGCATGATTGAAGCACCCATTTTTCCAGCATGCACGCCTGTATGTTGTCAACCTACAGCACCAGAAAGTACCCCAAACATAGCGAAAGTCAGAGTTGAGGCACCCATTTTCCTTATTTTCCCACCATATTCCACTGTGCATTGCCAACCTACAGCACAAAAAAGCACCTCAGCGGCAATCACAGCATCCTACAGCACCCAGAAGCCGCACTAAACAACGTGGCAATCACAGTGGAACCATCCATTTTCCCACCATACACAGCTGTATGTTGCCAACCTACAGGACCAGAATCCGCCTGAGACATAGTCCCAATCACGGTTGAAAACAAAGATTTTCCCACCATGTTTGGTTGTTTGTTGTCCACCTACATCACTAGAAAGTAATTCAAACACAGCGCCAGTCACAGCTGTAGCATCAATTTCCCACCATACACGCTGTATGCTGTCAACCTACAGCCAAAGACAACCTCAGACATAGCAACAGTCATGTTTGATGCGCCCATTTTCCTACCATTTAGGGCTGTATGCTGTCAACCTACAGCAGCGACTGTCATGGTCGAAGCTTGAACTTTATGGATAATTTGCTTTTGCAACAGCAGAAAACACCTCAGAGACAGGGACAGTTGTGGTTGAAGCTCAAAAGGCCTCTTCCAACTGGGGTTGAGAAAGCAACATTTGATGGCAGATCGCAAACAGAGTAGGAGTATCTTCAGGTTTCTAGCCGATGGTTCATATTGCTGTCAGTGAAATTCAGTGAAGGAGCTTTGACCATCCTCAATTTGAAGACTTAAGCCGTCTAAATCCAGGGGCACAATTGTTGAGTGACTACATGGTAGAATCTTTTTGTCGTATGTCTATAATGTTTTCTCTTGTGTCATCTCTTGCTTGCCACTTTTCTGGCAGTCGCTCAATTCACTCAGCGATTTGTGAGCAGTGTTCAACACCAGTGCTGATGATTAAACCATATGGGCTCCTATGAGCTTATACTCTCCAAATCATTCCAAATCACCCCTTTTTCACACTTTTTCCATTTGTTGTTTGGATGTTCACAATTCATGGGTTAAAGTTAAATGCCAAGATCCCCAAGATCCCAGGTTCACGTTTCGCATCAGCAACACCACCTTTGGGGGCGGATCTCTTGGCTGCGGTGCCATCTGTGCTGGTCAACATTGTGGCCTCGGGGGTGCAGGACGGAGTGGGTGACCGGTACCACGGTGACCGGTGAAAATGGGGGATTGAAGTTATTGAAGCCTCAGTCAATATGGCATCATATGGCCATCTCAAGGGGTAAATATCTATGGGGACATATGATTATGAACTATTGGACCAGTTGGATTTGAACATGGATACCCCATGGATACCCATGGATACCCCATTTTTGGACAAAATGATGTCAAGACTGATGACTTCACATGGCTTTGGAGTGTTCAAAATTGATTCAGGTGGCCCGTGCAACGTGCAATACCTGCTGAACGCTGTTGACTTCTCCAAGGCATTTCGGAGCCGGGGCAGCCGCTGAAAGGTCCCCATGTCACATCAGATCCTGGTCCCGTATAATATCGTATAATTATATATATATATAATTTAATTAATCATTTTAATAGATACAACTGATACAACTGATACAACTTACAACCGGCAAATCTTTTCCTAGCTTTGTTCGTGGTAGCTATGCATTGCCAGACAATGCGTCCTACCAACATTTCACTCGGACTGCCATAACTTGTGGCGTGCCTGTGTTTGGTGCAGTCCTCTTGGCGTCCACTCCCAAAGCTGCTGAGCCTGCATGGGTAGTCCAAACGAAAACTGAGCATAGGTATATCCCAAAAACAGGGTGACCCAAAACCCTCCATGATTATCATGGTTTATCTTCATTGTTCATAATACTAGGATGGGAATTTTGGGGCATCAAGTGTCTTGATGTGAAGAGATTCACTGTAGCGCAGGTCCACAGCGGCGAGCGCAAGATTGTCTTCGGCATTAGCACAGTCGACCTGGGCTATGTGCAGCCAATATTTCTTGCTGAGGACAACTCCCTTGGTGGCTACAGGTTCCTTGCAGTGCAGTCTGTTGATTTGCAGACCTCAAGGTCCTCAAGTACTGTCTAATGGCTGATGCTTGGAGTCCAGTTCCTTTCCCAGAACCAGATGCCCATAGCTCGCTTGAACTGTGGGTGAAACTAGGGGCAAGCTTGCTTGTTCGGTTAGAATTTATTCCCAGTCTCCAAGACTCCAAGACCCTCCTGCCGAGACAGTCGCAGATACGGCTTGGGGTGCAGGTCCATGGTGAGTCAACACCTCAATGGTTTTGCAGCGATCCCCTCATGCCAGGCACCGGCCTGTCAAGCTTCCTACTGTTTCGCTAGCCGCTAGCGCGTCTAGTGTCTAGTGATTGGGGTGCCAAAACTGTTTTGACCTCACCGGCAATAAGACAGAAGGTGCATATGGGCGCGTGATCTTGTGCAATGTCGCTATTTGACTATGAGTGTGGAAAATGGGTTGCGAGTGGACCCACATACTTGGTTTGGAAATGTTTGGATATCTGTGGCAATCATTAAACGCATTTCATTCAAAGAGTTTTTGGGGTCTACGAAACTTGCCAGGCCTTGGATGCCAAAGAATGGGACCATGCTGTGGCCTGCAATAGCACTTCCATCCGGCGCCTGAATTTGTGGAGTGCAGATTTGGGGGAGGTGAGGATCAAAGGCGCTGGATATGACGTGGAGCCAAACAACAGCACTGTGGTGAAAGGCATGAATGCTGGCAGATTGCTGTATGAGCCCATGCATGGTGGCTATGGTGCAGTGGTGGCTTTGGGTCAGAATTATTCGCTCCAAGGACTCTTGAGACACACACACACACACGACATATTTGCCAGCCTCCGGCAGATTCCGCCGGCCTCATGGCAGGGACCTGGAAGCTGAAACTGGAGAGGGAGCAATTGTGTTTAAAAGGCTAGCAGGTGTAAACAGTAACATGGGTCGGCGTAAGACGCGGTTGTGAACGTGTGGTTCAATCCTAGTGCGTGGTGCAAACTGTTGATAGAGAGGAAACTCAAGGAATGCAAAAGCAGATGCGAGCGATAAAGGCGCTGAACATGTTCATAATCGATACCGACAATACATTGTAAACACTTCATAGCAGCACACCAGAGGATGGAGGCTGGGCGGGTACTGCTGGGACTGAAGGGGGGAGGGGGGAAAAAGGTAATTAGGATGGTTCTGGGGCAGGGATGTTGATATGTTACTCTCCTATGGTTTTATGTTGGTCTTAAATCCTTGTTTGTTCCTCTCCTTTCACATTTTTTCTCGGGATGTTTCTGGGGATTTGTCCCCTAACTTTTTTCAAACTTTTCACATATTCTCTGTTTTTGCTCTCCTCCTTTGTTTCTGGTTTTTGCCCCTCATCCGTTTTCACGCATTTTACAATTTTTGTTCAAACTTTGTTCTGAGTATTTTTTTTCATTCATCTTCTCCTTTTTAGTCTCATTCATTCTTTTCCTTCTTGTTTTCTTTCCTCCTTTGTTGTTCCATGTTTAGGTTCAAGGTTGTAATTATGCTATACTCATATGTTGTAAGGTTTTATTGGTTGTAGTTATGATATAGTTTGTTTTATTATTTCTCGGTGTTTCTTTGTCTTGATGTTGACTTTCAATCTTGTTTCTTCGCCTTTGTCGTTTTTTTTTTGGCGAGGGGGGCTCTGGGGCAGGGGTGTTGAGTTGTTCTGCTGTTCTGCTGTTCTGGTTTTGTGTTTTTGTGTTGGTGTTCAATCCTTGTTCCTTCCTGTTGATGATGTTTTTTCTCTGGGGGCCTCTGGGGGTAACATGTTTGTGGTTAGGTTGTTTAGGTTTCCTCTTGACCTTCAATCAGCCTACCACACCTTTGATGGTTTATCAGGCATTGGTTCTCAATTTCTTGAAAACATTCACCCCCCGTATCTTATGCCATGAGGTGAGCATTTGTTGAGGCTGGTTTGGTTTCTACGTTTGGGTTTTGGTTCCGCTTTGCTCGCGTTTGCCACGATTTCTTCAATCTTGTCTTCGGTGCTTTAGTCGGGACGCTCAGCTGCTGGGAATGTGTAAAGGGAACGTGCCACAAGTTCTTGGAGAGCTTGAATAGCTTTCATGGTAATCATGTTGTGACAATCAAGGGCAGCCTTCGTGTAGCGTTGAAGAGAAGAAACCAACAAACTGTTGTTCCTTTTCACCAACTTGTTGATTGCGCTCCGATTACTCCGACCAAATTTGACATGCAGGTTGCTGTGGCCAGGTTCAAAGCCCCAATCAACAAAGCGACCTTCCAAGCTGTCCTGCCATGGCCAAGCATATCATGCTCTCTGGACGCTTCACAACCAAGGCAGGGGTTGGGCTAGTTTTTCTGTGATTCTTCAACTTTGCCATTCCACACCTTCCCAAGTTTGTTGATGCCCAACCCTGCAAAAGGAGACGATGGACTACATGAAAGCTGTCAAGGAGCGGCTAGAAGAGCTTGGAGAAAAAGCATTTATGGTCGATGCAAAGCCAGGCCAGTCGTTTGCAGAACAGACTCTGGAGGGACTGGGGCACGCGCGGGCTTTGGTTGCTTTCTGTACGGAGGACTATGGCCAGAAGACAGGAGTTGGCTACGAGACATTCGTGGAGCTCCAGTACGCGTATGAAAACCAGTTGCCAATAGTTCCATTGAAGCTGAGCGAGGTTTATCCTCCTGAGCCACCAGAGCCGCATGGGAGATTGCAGAACAAGCTTGTTTTCAAGAGAGGCTTGGTCTACATTGAAGACCAATACATGGAAGCGCCCAAAATGGTTGCCAGAAAAATCGCATCAAGCCTCACCCAGGGTCAGGAACGTGCTGCTGGGTACCCAAAATCGGAAGAAAGGAAGGAAGGAAGGAAGGAAGATTGTCAGCATGACATGCAGAAACTAAATGTGCACATGTGCTTCTTGTACAATGGACCCAAAAAACATGGCGATCAGGAGTTCCTGACCTGCACCAAGTGTCAAAAGACTTTTCATGCAGAGAACCGTCGTGAGCTTGTCAATTGCCCCTGGGACCCACAAGGAAAGCAGTACGCTGACAAGCAAAAGTCAGACGCGAGGAAAGAGGTTGAGGAGTGCGAGATGCGAAACAGTACTCTGGATGGCCAGATTCAGCTACAAGATGGCCAGAATAGCCGTGCCCGACTTAATTTTGACGGCCACTCCTCGTTCCACCCATGGCTCAAAGTCTACCAGAATAACTTCGTGGGCTCGGACACTGAGTTTCACATTAACAAAGTGAACTATCAGGGAAACCAAGTGTTTCTGGAACTGGACGAGCCGTGCTTTGGTGGGTTGAAGCACAGCCGGGTGGAGTTCTTGATGCTTTGCTAGTATGTGGTTCATCACAGCTGGTTAGCTGGTTGGGCATGGAGAGACGGGCCGTCTGCCCAGTGCGATTGGTGCACTGACTAGGCAGTTCACATGCCGGACTTGCAAATTATAACCTCTCGGCAAAGCTGATTGAGGAAAAGGAGCCCTGCAATCACGTAATTTACAGTTCCATTTCGTGTTTGCAACCTTGCTTTCACCCTGAATGCAAATCAGAGTGTTGCCTCAGGGATTTTGCCAATCGAAAAAGTTGTCCATTGCTTTTGCCATTTCTACGTTCTTTAATTGATACTTGAGAAGATTAGCATTGGAAAGGATGACACGCACAGATTTTGAAGTGTCCAATCCCCCCATCATTCACCTTGACTGCCCTTGACATTTGTTTTGCCATCTTGTCTGCATTGAGGTCAAGAAGACATCAATGAAGAGAACTTCCAGAAGGGGTGGTTTGCGGGTTTGTGGTTGAGCGAGGGATTTGGTATAACCACTTTTTAGTCAGGAATTCAACCAACCATTGGACAGAGTGACTTTGCCAGACAGTCTTGAAACCTTGACTTTCAGTAGACACTCGTTTCAACCAGCACTTGGACAGTTTGTATGGTTTTATTCTAGTTCTATAAGAATACTCCTACCCTACCTAAAGATCAATAAATTACATAACCGCATACTCGCAGATGAAGTATTCGGTGGATGGATGAGAGGCTACACCGTTCGGACTATGTTTTGGTTGTCAAAATTGTTGATGTTAAATTGGATGAAGTTTTTTTGTGGCAGGTGCAGTTCAGATTTGTTGGCAGGTTGGATTTATTGGCAGTCAAGAAACTCCCCAATGACCAAAACCAAACATCAACCGAAGACCAAATCCAAACACCACCCCAGAATCACTTAAATGACACCCTGCTATATGGTTCGCGATGGCATCCATCAAGAAGTGTCTGATGATGTCTTGGACGCAATGGCTCAAACATTGAATATTGAAACTCCAACATCAACTCCAAAAGAAAAAATGTGAAGAAGAAACCCTGATGGAACATAGAACAAGAAACCACCAGATGAAGACTATTTCAGAAAGTATTCTTTCAAGACAAGTTATCACAACCTTTCACCTGCCCTGACTAAAAGGACAATATCCAGCAAAACCAACCTTTCAAAACATAGAACCACTAGAATTTGCAAGAAATACAATGCCAACAGTTGCTAAGTCAGAACACCATCAACAATGTCATTTTTGTTGCTGATATTTATCCGTCCGATTTCCAACCCAAGTCCCAAAAATCCCAGCCACCAACCCCACACCAAAAAACTACTTAAATAAATTTTACCTTAGAATGATATAGGATTAGATTATATGGTGTCAGATATAGACCAGTCAGCACTAGATTATCTACTAACCTCCCAACTGGCGGAAGTAGTCAATAAAAACACTTAAGATAGGTGATAAATTTTACGTACAAATATGAAAGGTCAAAACTTTTGTCAGGAAAGTTGATGAAGGAACTTAAGAAAGTCAGACAAACAATGAATTACAAACTATATAACATAAGAAAGACAAATAGTGATAAATGGATTGACATAAACAAGAACAAGAAACTTGCAGGAGGTAGACAACCAACCTCATCAAACATTGTAGAACATAAGAAAGACAAAGAGTGATAAATGGTTTGACATAAACAAGAACAAGAAACTTACCAGGAGTTAGACAACCAACCGCATTAAACATTGTAGAAGAAACCAGCGCTTTTAAAAATCAGGCCAACTCCATTTCAAGTACTAAGATTGACTTAAGAGGCATTCAAGCATTAGAACTTCTGATTGAGCAAGAAAACCGGATTGAACAAATTTTGAATGAAAATAACGGTATGAAAATCATTGTTGATATAATAGGTGTTTTTAGAGAACAAGCTACTGATGACTTAACAAAGCAACGCATCAAAAGTAGAAGGTATGACATCACCAACGCAGAAGACATACCTTCCGTTTTGTCTCAAATGGCAAAGGACATTGAATTTCAAATTGAAAAGATAGAACAATCAGGCGAAACAAAAATCCGCGAAGAGGAGACTATTGACCACAGCCAGTACATTGTACACAACCATCATCACAGCACATCACAGGAAACACGCCGGCATAGGCCGGCGGACTCACAAGCTTCAAGTCTTGTGGAAAGTTCATCAGTTTCCTGTTTTTTGAGACGCTTTGGATAAGCTGTTTTGTCGAAGATGAGGACCCTCAAGAATTTTGGCAAGTGTGGCAGTGATGGTTTTGACGTTTCCAGGAACATTTCTCGGAGACGTTGCCACGGAGTTCTCTGATGTGATTCTGGCGCAGAGCTTCAAGATGAACGAAGCCATGAATCTCACGGTGGGAAATCAAACGTGCCAGGCTGGCCCATTCCCCTTGCCCAAGAGGATGATTCCCATGGATTTTAGAATATGTCTATATATGTCTTATAATTCTTATATGGGTATGGGTCAATACCTATTAATACCATTTTTAGTGGGATGAACATCCATTTACCAGATATTTTGATGTTCACCAGGGGTACAAGGTTTTGACACACTGCCATATGATTACTGTAAATTATAGTATGATTTTATCGTGGCCACTGGTGGCAGTGTGATTCTTCAAAAGTGCTACACCGGAAGCTTCACAACACGGAGGTTTCAGCGCTCGATGACCGAAGCTGGTTGGGAGTTCGAGGACGAGCACCTTCAACGACTCCAATGACTTCTTGTTTAACAAGAGCGTTTGAGGCTGAAGGAATGGGCAAAACGTTTAATTCATTTGCATTTGCACTCGCCAGCGCCCAAAGCATTTTCGGATACCCTGACGGAGTTAAAACTCAGCAGCTTAGTGGGACCGCGATAGGTCCGATAGGATAATTTCCGACTATTTTGCTGATTTCTAGAAGGGTAAGGGTATAACTGGGGAGAGTATGAGTTTGGCCAGTTACTGTCAGTTTTTTTCAGGGCCATGCTCGCAGACAGGCCACCCAGCTGGTCAATGGCACTACAACGGCACAGCCGACCACGACAGCAACTCGAATTGAACACCTCCATCCGTAGACTATCCTAAAATCCCAAGGCAAGGTCGTGAGGACACAAAGACAATCCGTTCCGTGACAGGGTGACATACTAAGACATACTAAGTTACTATCAAGGTGACCAGGTGACCAAGGTGACCGGATGCAGCTGTCCTGAAATTTACCAAGGTCACTGGGACATCCGGAAGCTGTGAGCTGGAGAGCGAAGTGCCGTGCTGCCCCGACGGTAGCTGCCCAGATCGCTGCACTGGTGCGCCAAACTTTCGTGGGGCTCGACATGTTTCGACAATGGTTTGTTGATGTTTGTTGAATCTTTAGGCCTCTCCGCTGCAAGACTTTTTTTTGAGGATGTAGAGACTTCGCGTCGCAGGTACTCAATGCTGTCCGTCTTCTGGAGGGTCTAGGACATGTCCATCAGCATCAAGTGTTCAGGCGATGTTGCAAAGACGTATGGAAGCTAAGACAATCCTGATGGTGCTTCTTGTTGGACAGTGTCTCACTCATCAGCAGACTATGGTGTGGCACTGCTTTTAGTCATCCAATCTCTTGCATTATCACTTTTGACGCTTCGCAGGTGTCCACTTGTGAGCGTGGAAAGAAGTTCGATTGCACCGGCACTACTGGGGTAGCACCACCTGGCAGACTCAGTGGCACGTGCGAGTTTCCAAATCCTCCGGCCATTGGGCAACCTGACAGGATCGATTTTCTAGACGTGAAATGATTAGATTGAATAAATGACTTGAAATAACAGGTGTACTATAATGTGTACTATCATGTGTGCTATTTGATATTATTTGATATTATTTGGTGGCAAGAAATGATTTCAACGTTTGATTGGATTCCGTTGGATTCGTGAACCATCCAACGAACCTTTCAAACTTTGAGGGCGCGGCCACAGCTCAGTTCAGGCACCGATCATTCTGAATCATTCGGGGGCGTTTACTGGTGTCGCTTTTACCGGTGTTATTTCATGTTATTCTATCTGTATTTCTATCTGTTTCCATCTGCACCATGTTTCGAAGATTTTCGAAGGTACTATTGGGAACCCTTTTGCTTCTTTGGAATGCTGGGCTGCTTCGCGGACGGGAAGAACGTCGAATGCCGCTTTTGCGGTAGTGGCGACTTCATCGATGTCACCTGCAAAACGACCACAACCACCACGACGACCAGCTCGACGACCACCATGCCAGGCAAAGCGATTCTTGAACAATCAGCCGTAAACCTTGGCAGTTTAGACTGGTCAGAATCATCGACAATAGTTTTTGCTCCCATCGATATTATAGGTGTCTTGTAATTTTTATCTTTTCAACCCCTTCCATGAATTATATCAGACATCAAAACCATTAAAACTGCTTTGTCTATTTTTAGAAGTAGAGTCTCCGTTCATTCGAAGGGAAGCAAATACAATATGCTCATTGACAACTGCCAAGTCCAGTCGGTAGTCCAAACGGTCCACGGCATCACAAGGGATCTTTGAGGATTGACAGTTGAAATGAAACCTGGGTAGAAGCCCTGGATGATTTCAAGATATTTCAAGATATTTCAAGCATTGTGGCTGCTTGATCTTTGGTTTCCTCTTATTGCTTGTGCGGCATTACCATGATCCAATGCCAGGACTCTGTCCTGCTTTGACCAGCGTCTTGAAGAGCTGTTCGGACGATGGATGCACAGTGTTGGCTGGAGGTATGCTTTCAAGGACTCAATGCATGCATCCCTTTAGGTCTTGCAAGGTCATTGACGTTAATGATTGGTTAATGTTCCATAATTTGGTACAGCAAAAAAGGCGTCATGTGTGAACCAAGCATGATGGGTTCGGTGAATTCGATGAGTTCGTCCAGGACCTGCAGGCAGTACTGTGAGGAGCACCATCTCATTTGTGTAGCTGCGTGTTGCGCTGAGTTTTGTGTGGCACAAATTGCAGGAGTTCTGTTTCTTTGTTTTTTTTTTGGTGCCCTTTCTGGGATTTCCAGCAGAGTGTAGCAGCAATTTGATGATCTCCCAGGTGGGAGGACAGTGACGATGACTGCAACGTGCTGGCTTCATTGAGTTGTGACCAGATCTACCAGGGCACACCAGAGTTGGCTCCTCAGAATCGGCATGAGCTCAGCCTGTCCTTCAAAACCAGCAACCAGTTACCTTGACAATTGTGACTATATCTCCACTATATCACTATATCATACTATATCATACTGTATCGACATATAACATATATCGACTATATCCCATTTCTTTAGGCAATTCCCAACATATTCCCGTTGGCATTAAAGAAGTTGCTTCAAATTCACACTTGGCTGCCGAGTTTGATCTGCCAATGCGCACCACAGCCACCACCGCCTGCGATTTGGATTCAAAACCAAGCTGGCCTTTGCTTGATGGCGAAGGACCAAATGTCGAGCTTGGGGATCCCCAATTCCGAGGGATGATCATCGCCTTCCCATATTTTCTATTATTTTCTCCATCAAATTGGCTATTTAAGATGCTATTTGATGCAGTTTGTGTGTCATTTGTGTATCCCTTATTGTTCAACTCCATGTGCTGTAAATCTCTTCTCAACTCCCCCGACTTTGTCGCAGGAGTTTAACGTCAGTGGTGCAGCTGTCAGTCTGTATCCCTGTGGTCCTCCGAACCCATCAGCGTGACCTGGGTGCAAACAGGGCGTTTGAATCATTTCAAAATCATTTCTCACATTTCAACAAACACTTTTTGGATGTTCATTGAAATATGAGGAATTCGTTTCATGATATATTATATATATTATATATATATTCCATTATATTCCATTATTCTAACATTTGTATCATTTGTTCAGTGATCGAGTTAGATACTTAGCATATCTTAGCAGAAAACTCGCCTGGAGGCAATGGATCCACCACAGATCCGCGCAGCTCACCAATGCCAACCAAGACATGCGACGCATGCGATGTTTGCATGCGGCGGAGCAAGATCCTGGCACTTTGGACGGACATTTTGTTCACGAGCATTCTGAATATTCTGAGGTCCAACTAAAACTTTCTGGTTCTTGGTAAGACTTAGTGCTTTAGATCAGAGTACAGACACCATCAAATCGAAGCACATCCAAGAAATCCATTTACTTTATTTTACTTTGATGTTATGGGAACTCTACTGTTTCTTTTAAAAGGTTTAAACCGGTAACACCAATCAGCTGCAGACAGCTTCGTCTTGCCCGATTTCTGTCACTCAGGAGCCTTGCTGGTGATGTTGCCATGCAGTGATGATGAGGCTGCCCAGAACTTCACGCTGGATGAAACCACGAGTCAGATTCGCATCTCTAGTGCCTTAGCCGGATCTAAGATGTAAGTTGATATTTGTAAAGAAATGTGACATCATTGTGAGATCCTACAAGAACATGTTTTGAATATTTTTGAATCTCCAGCACTTGCTGCTTCATGCCATCATTTGCAGACCCCATGGCGGTTCAAAGCTTCAGGGTTCGTAAGCGTAAAGGCATCTGCATCATCCGCATCTGAGGTGGGCTGTGCTTGGAATGGCGCTCTGGTGACGAGTTGGTGGTGACAGCAGTTTGTGGCTTGTCTGCCAACCAGCTGCTTGGAAGCACGGTGAATCACAACCTAGCGGCCTAGCCGGTCTGGATGTTTCCACCTGGGTGTTTTCAGTGATTGCACAAGAAATTCTCTTGGAATTCTCTTAGAGTCTTAGATCATTTATGAACTATTTCTGATAATTTGATCCTGTTGGATTTCCTCCGTAAGTTCAAGCATTGACGCCAGGCTATGGTATTGGGGTGAGAATCCAGTGGCTACAACTACCACGACGGTTGGTTGGACTGTCTTTTCCTCAGCAGGGCCTATCTTTCACTAGTCATTTTCGCTAATTCATTAGTCAAGCCTTCAGGCCTGTCTGCATATACTCTCGCGCAGAAAGAGAACAGCCAATTGACGATTTCATTCATTTTCTGGTATCATTTGGCAGATCCGGATTGTGCAATTGAGCCGGTTTTCACCTCTATAGATCTCTACAGCAATGGCAAAGATACCAACAGGAGACAGAGTGGGGCCGACCCAGTCCAAGTGCTGCTGGCTTGCTGCAACATTTCGAAGGGCACTGCGTCTCTGACAAGTTCCTCGGTGGCAGTTGTATCTTATGTCAATTGCCTGGACTGTTTTGGCAATGTCGGGCCAGGCAATTTCGGCTCAGTGATTATCTTCTTAGGCAGCCATATGTTTTTTGAATATTTTCGCAAGAACAAAGTGGGCAGAGAACGTGCGAAGTGATTCTGAGTGTTTGCACGGTTTTATGATGTTTTATGTGTTGTCTACTAAATACAATAGTCTGGATGGGGGCGGTCTGGAGGGTTTGTTCGTCCTTTCTGTATGCGCTTTGAATCGTCTTGGTCCCCTCAGGTTGACGATGGTGGCATGTGACCCTGGGAGCCTCTTGACAGAATGGTTCAAGCATCACCTCCAGGCTGACTCTCACTTAGTATGTTGGATGTACGAAATACCAACAAGCAGAAAAAGCAAAAAGGATCAAAAAGGATTATATATGATTATATAATATTATATAACAAGAAGTGCACAATTAGACTGCCAGACCTCAAAAAAAGACTTGGAGGAGGAAAGCTTTCAAGCTTCGTAGCCATGTGATGTGAAATGGTATGACAGATATGATATGACAGAGAATATTCTTGTGAGACATGCTAAGACGATATGCAAAGTCCAAAGTCCATCCAAAGTCCTCGTGTTTCGGCTCTTTTCGACGCCTTTTGGACGCCTTTGGACGCCTTTCGACTCGAGGCGATGCTCAGTTCTTCAGCTTCAACCAGACGTTGCTACAGGTCTCCTCCGTTGGCCTCTGCTTGGAGTCCAGTGCCTCGGCCCAGTTGTTCGGAGGTGTTTGCTTAGCTGCTTTGGATCTGGAGGTTTCCTAACATGGCCGGTACCCCCAAAACATCCATTTTTTTGTTTTTTTTTTTGGATTTTCCATGATCAACCACAAAGCCATGCAGAAATGGGGTACCCCCCATTTTGGGACACCTCCATTTGGCCAAGTTCTCTACTCTGGTTCACCTGTGAGGCACCGGAAGCGGAGTGGTGATGCGGGTCTGCGATCCCTCTCGGACGTCTCAGCAATTTGTCGCATCCTCGGTGGTTCGCTGGAGACAATCGCTCAAAATCAGGGTATCTGAGAGATGCTGCTTGAAAGGCCTTTAATTTGCAGTCTGGGATGATTTGGAACAGGCTGGAGCGGCACCGTTGAGTGGCCTTGGGGTTGTGTGGATGGTTGCTTGGCATCCGTTTGTGTGAGGCAACTTCAGTGTCTTGAAGCCGCGGATCCCCTAGTTCCAGGCCTCCACATTTGAAATCAGAGGGCGGGGCACCAAAAGTGACAGAAACACCTCTGGTGCCTAGATGCTGTGTTTTCACTCTTTTCACTATTAGCTGTTGGATTTGGTTCTTGACAGCACCGTCCAATGGTGCAGGTGCGCTGGTGCATTTGAAGGATTGCAACAGCAGCAAATCCGAGCAACATTGGCGTCTCAGTTGCAGTCCAAACACTGGGTAGGGCCAGTTGGACATAGTCTGACTAGCTTGAGCCAATTGCTGGTCAGTGACAAAACCTCAATCCTCAAGTATCCTCAAATGCTTCAATAAGAAAGCGTCCCTGGTGTGGTAGGTTCTTCAACTCTGCAGCTACGACCACACTGGCTCCTGTGTCGGTGGGCTTACACATTCGGCTCCCCGGCAGTCAAGAACTGGTGAGTTCTCAGAGTTCCAGCGACATGCGACATGCGGCCTTTTCTCAAGGCTTGAGTCCGGCATTTGCTTGGCGGCCAAAGAGAATGCCTCAAGGTGCCGAAGGGTGAAGCCCTGAGTTGGGGAAGGGGCAGTTGCGGAAGGGGTTGAATTGACAGGAGTTGCCTGGAGCTTCGTGGCTGTCGGGAGGAGGATGTCGCGCAGGCAAAGTGACAGTAAGGACTTTGTTTGTCTTTGGCCTTGGCAGGTAGGAACCGCAGTTCACCTGGGCACATTTGGAGGTTTCCCAACATGGGGGTACCCCCAAATCATCCATTTTAGATTTATTTTAATAGGATTTTCCATGATAAACCATCCATTTTGACGTATTCATTTAGCTCATGTTGGTGTTTTCCTGTAGCTTGATGCCACTCGCCGCAGAAATGGTTCTATGATGAGACCTCAAACCAGCTGAAGTCTTGCTGCCAAGTTTGGCCCAGTTGCCTGCCTTGGTGCTGAGATACTGCTCAGATCCAACAGGTTTAGCAATCAATTTCATGTATATGGGTATGGACTAATACCTATTAATACCATTTTTAGGGGGATGAACATCCATTTACCAGCTATTTTGATGTTCACCAGGGGTACAAGGTTTTGACACACTGCCATATTGGCTCTTCTGTAACTAGTTGATGGAACTAGCTTCTTGCCCGTCAGCACTTGTGGTATTGCTTTGCAACAGCCCTCTTGCGATGCCAGGAACGGCTTTGGCAAATGCCTCATGGCACCGCATGCTGGCGGCATTCGCAAGGCGGCTCGAGATGCTGTTTGTCTGGCTTGGTATCTTGATCATCAATCATGGGATACCTTGGAACAATGGGTTTACCGATTTACCCTTCTGAAGAATGACCAATAAACATCAATAAACTAGATGATAACCTGGCAAAAAAACACGTAATTTTGTAGTGGCTCAGTCACCACGCTGTTTGAATAATGGCATGCCACAATTCATCAATATTCAATATATTCATCATAATTCCAGATTCTTCATGGGCAGTTGAAGTGGCGGTTCTTGGGTCAAAGGCCAAGATTTCCTTCACGCGCTTTGGGTCTGGGGAGAACCGCGCCTGTCGGGGGAGCAGCTGGCGTCGGGGCACCTGACTTCAAGCAGTTGGTCATGTTGTTTTGCAACATGTTGGTGAGGTAAGTCCTTTCTAGGTGCAGCATAGTCCATAGTCCATAGTCCATGTTTGGAGATGTTTCAAGTGCCTTGACACCAAGAAGACAACGACAAGTCCAACTATATCGCCTTTTGGCCGGTTGATGCACTTGAGACGTGCAAAGACCGTTGCAGAGAAAGGCACCACGCTTCACAATCGGATGTTGGCAGGGTGGGTTGCATTGGGGGTAGATACGTCTACCGCTACTTATACAAGACCCTGTTGTCCAGTTGCCTCAGAATGAAATTTGGGACACTGAAAAAAGCACTGACTATATACTGTTGTTGTGAAGCCTCAGGGGTTTGGGCTGACACGTGACGCACTTTGGCCGCCAGGACGTCTTGCAAAGGCATTGAGTTCAACCCGGACTTGAGGCGATGTGAAGTGTGGATCAAGCCAGTCCTTGACCCAAGTTCAGCCGAGCAGTTTTTTTTTCATTGGAAATGGCATGAGTCTGTTTACGGCATGAGTCTGGGACTATCTTAAACCATGAATCATCTTGAATCATCTTGAACCATTGAGCCACAATCCTGGAATCATCCGTGTCTGCGGCCTGAGGTCACTTTGGCAGTCACAACAGTTGCAAACTTCAGCTGCTACACTGCCTCTTTGGTCCTCCCTGCTGGTTTAGTGGCAATCATTAGCCATTACAATCAGTGGAAGGTCAACCTTTCCAACAAAGGCGGGTGCCAATCCATCGCAATCTTGGCCAGGAAGATCCCACACTGGCGATTTTTGAGGATGTCGATGGTGGCTCTGAGCGCGTATGCCGGGGGAACAATCCAGGCTCATGGCAGCACATTGTTTGATGTCTCAACGCGTGTCATAGCATGAGAAAAGTGACAGCAAAGGGTCCTTGGTTTGGCTGCCCTCAGTATAAGAGGTTCATCTTGGCCTGAAAAAATGCCAAAACCGGATAGGTGACAACTCTTTGTCTTACTTCACGCTAAGCCTAGCTGAGTCCAAGGAGGAGAATGTGCACACGTTCCGCACATTTTGTGCATGTGTTGTTCATGCAACTATTCCACACTACTCACAGACGGAAGGACTGCCAGCGGCAATGTTCAATGGCCACAGGCCGCTGCACAGGCGTGGAAGATGCAAGCCAGCTGAACTCCTAAAATTCAGCGGATGTGATTTGCTCAGCTGGATTTCACGCTTCCCTTCTGGACAGGATTTGAATACCACAAAACAGGGCGCTGTGAACTTTGGTCCAAGCCTGCTGGGCACTCAGTTGTAAAATGTAGTTTTTTTTGTGGATCTATTATATACTCAGTTTTCATTCCCAAAGAGGTCAACTGTGTAAACATGTTTAAAGTTTAAACTGTCTACCTGAGTCTACCTGGACGGTCTCTGCAGGTTGGTGCCAGTGCAAATTTGTCTGGCTATTTCTGTCGTGCGCTCGCGACGGTGTTTGCCTCAGTGAAGTGGTGCAGCTGCTGCTGCTGCATTCGAAGCAAAGTACAAAGGTCATCATGAACGACTGCAACACTAGTGACTTTCGACAGTGCCCGTGCTGCAAATAGACCGCTTACACCCCTGTCTGGGAACAGTTAACGACTGTTATTGCTTGCAAATCTTGAGACAGGCAGAGATCACCAGCTCGGGCAGAGCTGATTTAGTCTTTGATACTTCAGAATCTGTCTCTGACCAGGCTCTGGAATGTGGATTCCATGCGCGGCCAAATCACATCTGTTCAGGAGCTGTGAATCCGAAGAAATGCCATGCATGAACGATAGACATGGACAGGTTCTAGCCGAATCATTTGTTTGGTTTTCAAATGCATTTGGATCGTTGTGCTCAGCATAGGTTTTCAATGGTTTTCAAACCTGGGCATCTGTGTGCAGAAACGATGCCATCGAAAAAAGAGTTCATGTTCCCGACATTTCCGACTTACCAACTTTCTGCCCTTCCTGCATTGCATGGCATGTCTAATTGTGGAACTTCTTGAACCGACACAAAACGCCGGCACCAGGATGGTGCATGCTTAGATGCGATTGGTAGATCCACTTCTGGCAATCGTGTGTGATCGCCTCGGCTGTTCGCTTCATCTCCAATTTATAGATCCAGATAACTGTGATTCATCTACACTTCGATTATGTTTCAGGAGTGCCATGACTCTCCAAGGCGTTTGTTGACCTGCAACTCGGAGAGCGCGAGTCAGCCTCTAGGCTGCAGATCGAACATCCCAAGGGGGAAGTGCAAGGGCCACGCATTTCAGGGACGAAGAACCCCTCAGCTGAGGTTATGGGAGGTCTCGACGGAGATACCGCCACAGGAAGTCCGCCCTCTCGTTGTGCCTGCCTTGGTTATCCGTACCATGATCACAGGATATCTACAACAATTCGCAAAGTTGGGTGTTTTGCCATTTTCCGAGTACATGGAAGGACAGAATTTCTACTGTATGATGGGGGTATGTGCTGCTAGCTCAGGATTGGATGATAAGCACATCGACATTAAATGTTTAAAACATATAAAAAATGACAGTGCCTCATGTTGCAAACAGGACTTCATGTGCGGCAAAATCTTTTTGCGCACAGTTCTGACTCGAAATCCTCCACGAAAACATAAACGCAGCTTTGAGCTGGGGACGGATTTAAGCTGATACGCTCTCTACTGACACTTACGCCCCAAACCAATCGCTGCTACTGCAGGTCTCAGACTGAGCAGTGCCAAGTTCCGAGTTCACGAATCGATAGATTGATGCAATGCTAGAAAGCAGACATTTTAACCTGAGTCCACTGACTCACATCTCTGCGGTTGCCAAAGACAGCAGCCGCCAGCACATGCTAAGGAAGGCCAGAGTCCATTCAAAGAACATGGCAGGTGTTCTATCTTGTTTGGGCGGTGTGATGCGTTCTATGCATAGCGGGTGGTCAGTCGTACAACTTAAGACCCAAGCAATCAGAAGTACTGTATGACTTTTTTTCCTCTCAAGGTGACAGCGCCAAAGGACAAACCTTTGAGGTTCCAAGAGGAGCCAAGTGGTGCGTTACCAACTCTGCACTTTGGCGCTGACTTTCGCCCATTCGGAGCTGGACCCCTCTGGCCTTAGTACAGCTTGCGATTTCGGTCCGCGGCTGGCTGTAAAGTGCCTCAGCTGCGAAGAGTCTCGAGGGATCTCCGTAGCCAATGTGCTACATGTACAATCTTAATACAATCTTCAGATATCTTCTTCAGGTTTACTTCTCCATATTTCCGCCAGAGCAAGATCAGTTTGATCGGACTCCAGGCGTACAGCGCCCCTTTTTTGGGTGCTATAGTGCTTAGATGTGCTTAGGGGCTGTATGTGAAAATGGCAGCAAGCACCTGGGAACAGCTGAGTTTGAGAAAAGCGCGCTGCGGTTGACGACAGGAATGGGCCGAATGGGCCGAATGGGCCGAATGGGCCGAATGGGCCGAATGGGCCGAATGGGGTTGGTTTCGGTGTGAGAACTTGCTACCAGAGATCCTTTCAAGGCAGCATGGCCTGACGAGTTGCTCAAATTTGAAGCGATTGCTTCACGTGTTCGCGATGGAATGCGCTGCGCACTGACTTGACATGTGGCGATACTAAGCCGCTTGATGGGACCCAAAGATGGCGGCCGCTTGGCAAAGTCTGCTTGGAGTTGCATATATTTTGATGCTTTTTGATACTTTTTTGCTATTTGCATTTGAAGTTCAACCCAGCTTTAGCGCGAATGTGTGCCCTGCCCAGATCATTTTCCACCAAGGTCCTCAAGATGCACCTGGACGGTTGGGGGAGCCTAGCCGGCCTAGCCTACGGGCTGCCCTGGTTTGATCAACTGGTGGAATCCACCATTGGACCATTGGATATGGGAAATGCCGTTGTGATGATTTTTCTTATTGGTGCTTGTTACATCTTGTTACTGCCTTGATGGCGAGCGGCCAAAAGTCGACACTTGTTGCCATCTGCCGATCAAGTTCAAATGACGAAAGTACACCCGAGTCCTTTATAAGTAGCAGTGAAACCATTTGCATTCACAGCGGGAAAAGAATAATCCCTGTTTTTTGGGAGCCAGAGAGCCAAAGAGCACCTTGAAGCACACCATATGCAGATAAATGCAGATAAATGCAGATAAATGCAGACAAATGCAGACAAATGTATTTGTCAATCTCTGTATTCCTTGGAATTGATTTGCAACTTTGTTGTCTGGCAGACATCGGGGAGTTTTTCGCTTTGTCCCTGCATTCCGTGCAGTGTAGCCTCCCGCTGAAAGGCAAAGAAACCGAGCATTTGAGAAATTCTACTGGGCCAATTTGGCACTGACCTTGGACCTTAGAAGCTGCGCTTACTTGGCTTCATGACATCTCAAGACGTTCCCTGCAAGAGGCTAAGAAAGCCAGAAGGACACATTTCATTTGACCAGCGAAAGCAGCATTCCACGCAAATTCCCACGGTTTTTTCCAGATCAAGTTGCTCAGGTGGAGACCGGGCATGTAAAGGAGCGAATCGCAATTGGCTTGTGCTTTTGGCACCCTCCCTCTCTGGTGGTTTGCAAGCAACATTGGAATTATCAGATCTATCAGATGAATTTCAGATGAATCGGATCTATCATACCAGTGAGATCTATCAGATCAGAAGGACTCGGAATGGGAGATCTTCCTGGACAGTTCGGCCCTCGTCCTGCAAACCATATGGTGCATGTTTTTTTGGTGCTCTCACCGTCGCCATGTTCTAAACTTACAAACATTTACAAAAGATCATGCCTCAAAATTAGATATAATTACTCTCAAAATTCTCCAGAATTGATGAACATTCTCCACTATGTACAGGCAGAGTTATTCACAATTTGGAAGAAGAGAGTTGTGTCGCGATCCTGCCGTTTGTATCCCAATTCGGCTTTGTTTTGCTGCGAGGCCTTTCTAAGCCACTACCAGTGACATTGTGGATCACTCCCACCGACCGAGATGCTGAAAAAGTTCGTAGCCTCCTGGATGGCACCCATGGACCTTCTCTGACGTGTGGTGACGGGCATCGCGCTACCACGATCTCACCAACAGCAGCATCTAAGGAGCATTGAGGCAGTACAAGGCTGCGGCAGAAGAAGCATCAAGTGCTGATACAGATATTGAACAAAGGCTCCGGTGCTGTGGGCAGTTTAAGTTAGAAGAAATGTATCAAACAAATATCCCAAACCACGGAACAATGAGCTGAGATTGTGAAGGGAGGCAAACAAGATGGGCAACATAATATGGCAACATCTCATCTAAGTGTGACTTCTCAAAACAGGCTAATGCAACAGTTTCCCTGTTAGAGCTGCATAGTGTCATTCTGACAGTTTCTTATTTGATCCTCCGCATGCTAGGGTTTCAGTGCAGATGCTTCCATGGATGCCTGAAGAAATGGGATGGCGGGTGCTTTGGAAGCAGTGATAAAACATGATAAAACATGATTAAGCCCCACACCGCTGGCATGGCGATCTTTATTGTACATCTAATCTCGGCGAACGAGAGAGAGAGAGAGAGAGTCAGTTGTGCTTTGCAGGTAACGGCACCACAATGGTTTTGCTGATTGGCATGGTTTTTGCTTGTTTTTCTCAATTCGTGTCTGTTCGTCTAGTCTTTCTGGTTCTTGTGTTGCCTTGGGAAGGTGGAAAAAGATACTGCAATGCTCCTGTGCTCTTTAGACTTTAGACGTCAATGAATCGATAGCACAAAAACAGGTGAAACTCCTCTCCCAGCACCGGCACGGTGAGCCCCGGGGCTGTTCTGAGCCTCCCAAGGTGGACATTCCCAAGACGCTGCTTCGAAAGGATCCACGCTTCAAGCCTTTGCACCAAATGCTCATTGACTACACTGCCAAGGCGATGCCGTTCAGATTCTACATTGGAATACATTGGACATATGTGATGCTGTCAATCATTGATCAACCTGGATCATACAATTGATCATACTATTGATCATACTGATAACTGATAACTGATAACTGATAAGTGCGGAGTCTGAAATCATCTACAATAATCTGAAATAATCTGAATTTCTGAGCACATTGAAATTTGTGGAATCATGTGTGTCGATGATGATGACCTTTTGGGTGCCGATGACCTTTCTTCAGGGCACGATCAATCGTATGGAAGAGGTGCTATTTGGATATTTTGGGTGGGAAGGGACTTGAGTCTTGAGCTTCCAGAACAACATCAGTGTGTTGTTTCCCACATTTGCCAATCAGTGGGCCTCCAGATCAAAATCCGAAATCATGACAGCTCATCACTGTTCTGATCACTGTTCGCCACTGTTCCTGGATCTTGTTGGAGCCCTGATCCTTCGATCTCAGCACGTTGGACTGCAGTCGCCAGGTCTCGATGCTGCCGGTGACACTTCTGGACATCCAGGCAGGTCATCGATGCCTCGACACCTGCGCTTCACCTGGCAGCAAAACAGCGCAGATGTTGGCGTGCCTTGCCCATGTCTCACGGCAAAATGGCTGAAATGGCGGGAAGGCAGATGGGGCTGATGGATGCTGCACTTATTGAACTAGTCCTCAAGTTTTGTAGACATCACAGGTCAATTTGGACCCTGTTGAAAGTGTTGCTGAGGCAAACTTCCGGAAATGGGGCAGGCCTGGTGCTGGCCACAGCAGTCCAGCCACACAGCTTGATGGCACTGGCCAATGGCTGTCCGCTCTTCATTTTTGTCTGAGGAGCACTTCCTCAATCATGAAGGGGTTTGACGGTTTGATAAGGTTTGATGTGTTGAATCCTGTCAGGGGCTTGGAGAGCATCTGCAACAACGAGGTGAAGAAGTGTCAGCCATTTCTGCTAGGGCGCGCCTTGGCATTTGGACCCTGGAGCCCTGTTCCATTTGTTCATCCCAAAATGTGGTTCATCCCAGCAGTTTCATGTGAGTTGTCGTTAGGGGCTGAGGAGTTGGGTAGAAGATTGGCCTTTGGATGGCTAAACTCCTAAAGGGCCCCTGGAACAAGAGAGTTGGCTCCGTGTGTTTTGACAGTAGTCGTAAATAGTTCTGTGACAGATGTCTTTTGCCTATATTCTGCTGTTGCCATGTCAGTCTACTATTTTCTTTCAATTGGGCGAGTGAACCGCCTTTAAGTCTCCAAACAGCCATGAATCATCAACCTGTAGGTGTTTTGAATCCAACAGATTCACAGGTGTTTTGTCTCTTTCGGCCCTGGCCTATGCACAAGCTGCATTTATATTTGGCCACGGCCTTGAGACAAAGTCAGACTTGCATTCATTGGCGCAGATAAGGCATTGACTATTCTTCAGATGAAGGCTGTGTCGTTGCCAATGAGATCTCTGCTGAGCGCGCTGGAATGTTGGTACACCAAATAGCGAGGCAGAACATGTTTCAGCACTACCATGAAATGCACGGTTGTCCTAAAGCATTGCAATTGGTCAGCTACTGCCGAGAGTCATCATGCTCCAGATTCCTTTTGTGATCAGGCACCAGGCCCTGTACCCTTTGGTAGTTTTCACTTCACACGATGCTCGGTACTTTCCCAGCATCCGTGAAGCAGATGGCCAAACAGAACTCCTCTTCGACCGAATCTTGTGCGATGTCATGTGCTCTAGCGTGGCTTGTCTGCACAAAATCCAACTTCTCATGTGCAGGACACCTGCTCCGAGTTCCTGCAACAATATTGACAAATGAAGCTGAAGCACTCAGGTCATTTGAAAAGCTTGTCAATTTGCTTGTCAAATATTTGCAGAATTCTGCCGACACCTTTTGGTTGTTGAACCCTTTGAAGCCGTTGAAGCCTAGGATGGGACCTTGAGGAAGGCACCGCATCTCTGGCGCGAGTGGAGCACGAAGCTGAGCATGGAGCTGCACGCAGATCAGTTGGCCGTGGCCTTGCGCGCTGCGCGGCTGCTGCGCCCCGGCGGCCGCATGGTCTACAGATCCTTGGCACATCCGTGGTGCATCGGGTGTTTGCAGGGTCCCTGGCAGTTGGGGGAAATGGGGGCAAAGCTGGAAAAGCTGACTCTTTGGTTAGAGAAGTTGCGACTCACTTATTAACTCATTGAAATTCCTCCTGCGTCAAGAGTTGAAGCCAAGGCACCTGCAGCTTGTCACCAGTGGAGAACGAAGCTGTTGTGTCCGAGATCTTGCAGGCAGCATCTCTTGCTCCTCGGACATGCATTCTGATCTCAAAGGGTTGCAACACCCTGATCTTCTGCAGATACGAAAATTGCTTGTTATTGTTGTTGTATGTTGTTGTTATTGTTGTTGCTGTTGCTGCTGCCACACATTGCCACTTTCTTTGGTCACCATGTCACTTCACCACCTGAGGCTTTGGTGGATGTTCGTGGGCAGCTGGCCATGCGCACATCGCCCGGATTGCAGCGGTGGAAGGCCTGAGTCACTTCTGAAGGAATGACATTCTAACACTTCCAACGCAGAAAGATAGAACATGAATGAAAATGGAGATGATCAAAGTCCTTGACATATCGTGACCTGGATCCAACTTCCCCCCTTTCCTTGACTGCAGCGCTTGGTTTTGACCATGTTTTGACCTGTTTTGACAGGTTGCACACAATGGTCAGCTGTTTGAAAGCCATGCAGCTGCTTTGGCAGCTGGTGTCAAGCTCCACAAAGGACCGCGGCAGTGGCAGCCCTGCTGGCAGTTTGCCAAGTTGTGGCGATGACCGTGGTTACCGTGGTTTGTTCATGTTTGTTCCATTAGTTCTGAAGTAACTTTCCGACCGCAAATCATGCTCCTGATGTGGATGTTTTGTAAGATAGGGGATGCCCGGGATGCCCGAAATCAATCCGAATCATGCATTTCTAATAGGATTTTCCATTATAAACCCCATCCATTTTTGGGTACCCCCATTTATGGAACCCTCCTGAGATCTGAAAGTGACAGCCGGACAGGATTTTTTCCGCCAGAAGCACCGCATTTGCTTCCAGAGCTCAGCAAGTGCCTGCGGATTTTGCCTCACCACAATGACACCGGAGGCCCCCGAATAAGTTTCATACGACAACAGCACTGATTGCCGTTAGAATTAAATCTGGAAGGGAGTATGATGAGCCTTCATTGTCAGCTTCCGCACTCAGATGTTGTAACAGTGATGTAGCTTTTGCGGGAGCTGTGAGGCTTCTTCGTTGCAGTGGCTTGTTCGCATCGAGTTGGAGCATTCTGTGGCCACAGGCATTAATCAGATAGTCCCATTGGCATCCTTTGGCTAGTTACGCAAGTTGGCTTCATACCGGGTATACCGTTTGGCCTTGAGGCGGGCAAGGGATCTTTCTGGTGTTGTTCAGGTCCTAACTTCCAAATCACCTTACAATACCCAATTACCTTGGCATGATCTATTGATATCATTTCATATTTCTTGTGTGGTTACTTTCCCATTCTTTCCATCCATGCTTCAGGTCTTTGAAAAGCACACTTTGGATCATGAAGAGGATGGCACTGCAGCCTGTCGTGGCTATGACAGCGATCGGGATGAAGATGGTGAAGAATCTGCGCGCCGGAAGCAGTTGGAGAAGTTGGAGCAGGTGCGGCGTCTACGATGATGAGAAAATGAACCTTGATATGCCTGAATCAAAAGTGCATGCGCCAATGCTGTTTGGGAAATGTGGATCTACTAAAGTCAAAATTTTGAGGATCCAGGAGAGATTTGGTGTAACTGTGTAACCAAGATTTAAAAAGAGATGTTGCTAAAGTTGCTATATAGAGGAATTGGAGGAAGATGGACCTTTCTGGGTACAGATGCTGCTCCAGGTGGCCACTGCGGGCAGCGCGCAGGAGCGAGCCAAGGCAGAAGCGCGGCGAGAACGCGCCAGGACAGACTAGGACAGCTTGCTTCACAGCTGGATCTCACAGGTAGCCTGTCGAGCTACGTCGAGCTCACCTCCCAAGGACCTCTGGTTCTTTGGCGCGGGAGCTTGCGCGCTACACTTGTCTAGCTTCAATGCCTCAGGTCCTGAACTCGAGCGGATTTGGTTATTTGACGCAGTGAAATGCAGCGCAATGCAGTGCACATCAATCCCATCATGACTCATGACGGCTCATGACGGCTCATGACGTATGATGTTGAGAAGGCTGCTGCTCTCCGAAGCTTCTATGGACTGCATGAGACGTTTCCGGAGAAGCTGCTCTTCAGCCGGCACCATCTGGAACTCAATGCTGACGGAGAGCTTTTGCAGACACATCAAGGCTGGCTTGCAAGGGCTGGCAGTGCTTCTCATCTTGTTGCACATTTCAAACACGCTGCAGCATCATTAGCAGGAAAGAATTTTGGATTCATACGTACGTAATCGGACGTACACATATATTTATGTAATTTCATGTAATTTTATGTATACACAACTATACACATTCATATTGCCTATTTAAATCCTCCAAGGAGAAGCAAACCAACTTCTTTTGCTCGCTGGGGCTGCAGCGGAGATTCTCCAGTGTGGGACTGGCGCCCATGCCAAGAGAAAGCTCAAGATCATCGCAGGTGCATGGCATATGCATGGCATATGATCTGCCAGATGGTTCAGGTTAGCCATACCACTACCATTCAGACTCGGTGAGATGATGTGAGATGGTGGATCTGGTGGATCTGGTGGATCTATCCTGGTGGATCTGGTCGTTCCCAACATACTCCAGGCGGCTTAAGGGTCTTTGAGAAGGACCGCTTTGAGGTGCCTGAGCGGTGCACGTCCTTCAGGTGCGATGGTCGGGATATGTGATGTCGGTCAGAGAACGATAGGATAGTAGGATTCAAATGGATTCTATAGGAAGGTGAAACGATGTGAGATCATGGCCCTTCCAAACTTTGGCAACCTTTCCAACCCCCTATGGCCCTATGGCTGCGTTGGTCATTTTCAGGTTTGCGCAAGAAGGCCTTGAGCTCTTGCTACCCTACATTGGGCAGCGCATCGCAGTCCTAGAGGAGGGGGTTGGAGCAGCTGCCTGCTGTTTGCAGCCACAGGAATAGGTGGTGTTTCATCTTGATTCTTGTCATTGCATCTCATTACCAGATGGGTGAGAAGTTTTACTTTATCTAGGCACAGAAACCAACTCAGGCTGCGGCTGTCGCAAACTTGGAAGGATGTTTTGGTCACTAATTGAGACAGATTTCTAGATACCATTGCATGGGTCCTTACTATTGTCCGAATCCGCCTTTTGTATCTTTTTGTTTGCAGGATGTGGCTGACACCCGTCGTTTACTGAATCAGCGCGATTCAGCTACTGCGCAACTGGTGTCGAAAGGAAAAGAGGTGTTGGAAACTTTGGGTCCAGGCCTTCCGGGAAACAAGCTGAAACCAAGCTTTTCAAGACATCCTGGTGTCGTTTTGCTGTCACTATCATGTCTATGAAAAAGCAGAAGCTTGGTTCCGAATCAGCTCGGGAGGTGGCTGCGTTCTCTTGCTGGGCACCATGATCGAAGGCAGCCTGAAGAAATTTGAACTTGATGTCCTTAGTCTTCTTTCCACAGCAAGATGAACCTATGCAGATGTGGGCACAGTTGATTTGCATTTTGTGCTTCTCTTCAGCAAGGAGATTTGCTGCCTGTTTCGGCTCTGCGAACGCAAAAGGCGAAGTTCGGGTGCAATAGAAGCATGTCCAAAAGTCATGAAACATGTCCGCTAATAGCTTGAACGAGCAGTGGACTTTGTGAACTATTAGAAGTGATGAGAGATTCAAAACAATTCAAAACCAGCACATGCTCTTTCTTGCAAAATGGAATGCGAAGGCTGTGAATCTCTTTGTCAACGACATCACAATGCCATTGGTCCGAGAGGCACAAACCTGTCAGAACAAACAAGTGCCAATTCTGCTATCCTGTATCTAGTTTTAGAGCAAAGATGGTGCAAGAACCAGAGCCAGTTGGTTGTTGATGTTGTTATTTTTGGGTAACATTGTGTATAAACAACGTGGCGCAATTTCCATTAAATTCCAAACATTTTTGATGAATATATTCCGCCTCAAAAGCTAAGGCCTGTGGAATTCCTGCCGACTGCACAGCCGAGCAGCTCCAAAGAGACGAAAATGCGAGCGACCGGGATAGCTCATGACAAGTTTCTGCGATAGCAGTCTCACTGCATAGGTTTGCTTTATGCATGGACCATGATGGCATAGCCACAGGCGAAGAATCTCAGACCACTGCTGTAACTTTGCTGCACCTGCCAACCAAGCTGCTGCACGTTCCTGTTCGCTGGTAACATCCAAACAAGAACAAAGGGATGAAGAAAACACATCTTCTCAACAGCGCAGTCTTGGTACAAAGCGGGCTTCAACCAGTTTCAACGGCCGTGCAAAACCAGTGGTACTTGCCCTGAGAGTTTGCTGTTTATGTACGTATCTGAGGATGCCCAATTGGAACTAGAAACAAACATGAGCTTGCTTAACAAAACCTTTAAAACAAATAGAAAAACACATTCAACAGTTTCATGAAGCTTCGTTTCAGACGTTGGAGCTTCGTTGGGGAACTAGGAAACCAAGAGGAACTTCAGATTTTGTTCCTGTCAACTCCCGGATCCCTCTGGCCATGGCGCAACAGGCGCCCGTCGCGAAGGACCTCCCGTTTATGTTCATTGAGTTTGTCGATTTTTGTTGATACACTGGACTAGCCTCGAAAGACTTCAGCTGAGTTTGAAGCGGTTTCGGGGTGCTAACGTGCATTTTGGTGGTCTTCTGGGAGCAAATCCACAGGATTTGCAGAGCTTTGGTTGATTCTTGCTGCTTGAAACATCTTAACACCGAGTGCAGCCTGAGGACTTTGAACCTTTGCAGGTCGCGCCGGAGGTGAGCTTTTGGCAGGAACTGAGCCAAAGAAAGCTGGACATTTGGCGCAACTCGACTGCATCAGGGTTCGTCCTCGTGCCACCCAAGTCATTCAGGGTGAATGTCAGCAGCAAGGCTTGCATTGAATGGTTTTGATAAGTCATCAGAATTTGCTCTTCAAAGGAACAATTGATCCACGCGTTGTCCCTAGTGAGGCCTGGATTCTTCCAATGTGCCATTCACAGCCTTCTACGAAGCTTCGCAGGCTGTCGCTTAATACGTGCTCAATCTTTGCAACAACTCAACTGCCAACAAGAAACCAGTCACTTTGGTCGTCCGAATTTCTATGGCTATTGGCTGTTGTTGGTTTTTGTGACTGGCCGGTAGATTTCTTTCCTTAAAGACTTTCGGAGATTTTACCGGATCCTCAACCACTGGCCTCAACAGTGACTAGCCAAGGGACAATTCTTACAGACTTTTCTCGCTGCAATTCTAGAATCACTCGTTTTGAACTTGAAATCAAACGCGTCCACATCCGCAGTCAGTGGCAATCACTGGTACTTACCGTTGTCCTTGATGGATTTGATGGCCCTCGCACCAGGCTTCTGGTGTTCCAGCAAAGTGCTTTCTACAAAAGACTGCCTTTGATGCCGCCAAAGTGCCGGCAGGTGCTGGGAAGGTGATTGGAGAGCTGAGCCTTGGTGACGCAGTCGAACGTCGAACGTGTGGAACATTTTCCCGGTGTGTCCGCCATGGCAGCTATGGTAGTCCCATGTAGTCCCCCAGGAAAAACTTCAACACCGAAGAGGAGTTTCGCACCTTCTTGGGCAACGCCGAAGCGCGGCAGAGCTCTTTGACGGAGGTGGGAACGCCGCCATTGACGCTTATCGCTTACATAGATGCTTACAACTTACAACGTCGTATTTTGATGATTTTTGATGTACATATTCCGGTTTCAAAATATATCAAGGCACTTCCTTGAACATTGGTTTGCTTTCATTGAGACGTAGTCACGAGTAGCACACCTGTGGCGCAGGAAAAGGTTTGGTAGATTGCCCATCACAAATGGGTGTGTACGATTGAGTATGATGTTCGTGTTTGCACTACATGTTAGGGACAAAATCTCCATTGTTTTGAGGATCTAAGTGCCGACAAACTTTATGGCAGGCCGTGAAAAGCATTCGCAACGACATTGACTCCGGGGTCGCTCTAACGGAACCCTCGAGACTCAGGCTGGTTTCAGAAAAAAGCATCAGCAAGAGGATGAAATGGAACCAAAAAACACTTCTTGTATATCGAAGTTGGCAATTTCAGAAGTTCAAGATTCGTGTGAATCAAGTTTGTCAACTCGAAACTCTGAAGCTTGGTTCGCTGCACAGGCGACTGATTTTGTTCAGCTTTGCGGATCTTAAAAAGTAGCTTGGAGTTCAGCCTGTGAGGGTATGCATAGTATGCAGTCATATGCAGTCCTTTTTGGGACTGACATGGCATTCTATTTGTCATACCAGTAGCTCTGATGTGGTGAGAGTACTGTAACTCTTTCGTAGTCAGCAGAACTGATGAGAAGACAACAGGGAAGAGTAAGCCAATCAACTGCAAGTTCCAAAATCCTAACTGAGTGTGGAATCATTTTGAGTCTTGACTTGAACAATCCTTCATTGATAGTAGACTTCTCATTATCGATGCCGTCCTCCACATGTTGGCCCCGCGTCTTTGAAAAGCTGCATTGTCAATCTTAAGGTATCACTATTCCTTCCTGTCAACCTTGCCGGCACTGAAGACACCAAAGCCGTGGCAGCATTCAAAAGAGCCTATAGAAAAGCTGGGGCAAGACGTGCTTGCACAAGTGGCAAAAGGCCTACGCACACTGCCAGAATTCAGTGATGCACTACAGGAAGAGAATGTCCACTTATTTGCCATTCTGCTAGGGTTTTCTGCATGGAACCGCAAGAAGGGGAACTGTACAGACTACTCCGCAAAGCAGCACATTATTCTTCCATCTTTGGTGTAGCATATTTGGGTTTGTCTGAAGCTATGGCTCCCAAAAATCATGGTTTTATTTTTTTCCCCATATTTTTTCCATATAACCGAGGCGAAGAAGACTTCGATGGCCTCTGCCTGCTGCTACGGAGTAGCTCCAGTGAGACGGGCTGGTGCTTGCGACCTTTGGCTCACCTGCCATCTTTGCAGGTGCCGATTGACCAGTTTCCACGGGGACTCCCCAATAGCCGGATGGTTTATGGAATTTATGGACCATGAAAATCCGTAAAATATGGCTGATTTTGGGGGGTACCCCCAGGGCCCCATGACTTCAGACACCTCCAATTCTGTTTTTTTTCTTTTCCAACATGTTTTGCCGATTTTTTCCAATTCCAACAGGTGTCTTTCCAGCCCACGGACCCATGGAGCCCATGGATCGAATATGCAGCACATGGAGCCCATGCATACTGTAATTACTGTGGTCAGGGTGATCAGTGTGATCCGGAAGGTGGAGTCGGAGGATGATGTGGTGCTGGTCTTTGTGGATCCATCTTCCGAGGAGGGCCTGGGAAATTCCACGATCCTGACATTTCACAGTTGATCATGGTGAATTTATGTGAATTTGACATTGTTTGCATGCCACAGTCGAAAATGTGAGTCAGTCTGTTCCCCAATAGCACACGTCTACCTGATGTTTTCACGCTTTTTGCACCAGAGATCCGCCGAGGATGCTCCGGCTTGGCCATTGCAGAATGCGTTGCTGCTTCTGGCCAGATACCGACCTGGACAAAGATTGGTGCTGGCCTTCCGAAACTTGGTCCAAAGTTTGAGATGTTTGAGTTTGCCTGGCATGATGATGATGATGATGATGACGACGATGACGATGATGACGATGATGACGATGATGACGATGAGGATGACGATGACGACGACGACGACGACGACTAGGACGAGGTCGATGATGACGATGATGATGAGGATGACGATGACGACGACTAGGACGAGGTCGAGGACGAGGAGGATGATGATGTTGATGATGACGACGACGCCGATGATGACGGCAATGATGACGATTATGTGAATGAGTCTCAGATCAAGATCTGTTTTGCCTGCTTCGTTTAACAAGAGCTGCTTGTTTGTTCATGATTCTCTCGTATGCTGCAGCATCTAGGTATGACACTTGTGAAAGTGACCTTGCTTCATTGGAACGAAGCTGGTTGCACAGACAAAACAAAACTCATAAGGAGACCCACAGCTGGCATCTGGGGCGCGGGGCTACTCTGGAGGCCACAGGGATGGTTAAAGAGGTTCGCACAGTGCTCTTTACACAGTTTTGCTATGCAGGGAGCACCCATGGGCAACCCCTCGAATCTGTGGTGTGCTAAATGTTCGTTAAAGATCGGCGGATGGTGAAGTGCATGTCTGAATGTGGTTGAATGATGTTTAATGTGGGATGGAGCCAGCTCTACGTGATAACCAAGATCAAACCTTGAGCATCCTTGAGCATCTTGACTCTTGACCCATCTTCAGAATCTCTATCGGACTCTATCGTGGAAGCATTCTTTTCCGAGTTAGTTGCGCCGAATGCGCCTGCAAACTCTGGATTGATCCATATTGATCCCTTTTCGGGGTGCAAGTGCAAACTGCTTGTCCACTTTGAATTTCGTGAAATTTTCCCATCCCCATGGCGCCCACGGCATCCCACAAGTGGCTCAGGTACACAGCTACGTTCACGGCTCCTCCGCTATGAGGTCAGTGCCGAGACGTCCACGGCCAATGACTGCCGTGCCGGCTGGTCGACCCTCAGCAACAAGTTATCAGGTAAAAATAGGTAAAAGGGAAAGGGAAATCCAGTTGAATCCAGTTGAATCCAGTTGATATAATATTGATATAATATTGATATATGTTGATATGTCAGCCTCCTGAAGACAGCTGAAGTGCCCTCACAATCCAATGTGTTCACTTAGTGTTGCTGTTTGCAGAAGTTCGTAACAGAATCTCATTTGTAGGCAATTGATATAGTAACACAATGTAACAGATTCCAATTTGTAGGTGGGGTGTGCAATCAATACGCTCATATAGGCCATTTCGAATACCTGGGAAGATGCTGTATATATTCACCACAATCCACTGCTATTATATTTGCCCCAAGAATGCCTACGAGTTGGGCTCTACAAGTTGGGCTCCAAACATCACATGGTGCCGACAAAAGGAAGATAGCCACCTTCGACCTGACACGCTTTCTCGACTCCAAGACGGTTGCAGCAACTTGCGCTGAAGTTGATGTTGCCAAAACCCTGCATACCTGTGCTATCTTGCGACACGGAATCAGTCCATTCAATTCAGTTTAGAGTGTTTAGAGCCTAGAATTTCGACATGTTTAGACCTTTTATAGGCAGAAAGGCAAGACACCTCCAGAATTCGTACACGCAATCACTGCCTCCGATTAGATTGTTTCAGCGGGATAATCTCTGCCATGGAAAGACAAACGTCTAAAGCCCCAATAGCCCCAGGCCAATGCAGTCGATCTCAACATCAAACTCATGAAGTGGCGAGTGCTACCAGGTCTTGAGCCAGAACGAATGAAGGCCTCCCTGTTGGATCTGTTGGGTTGGCGTGTGTTCAATGAGTTTCATCCATGTGTTCCATTGGTTTGTACTTCCAACATCTTCCAACTCAATCCGCAGGAGCTTCGGATCCTGCTGCTGGGCTCTGGCACCCTGGGTTGTGGCGTTGCCAGAGCCCTCATGGGCTGGGGCTGCAGGCGAACTCTGGGTTGTTGCCTTCCCTTCAGTGACTTCATTTTTGAGGTGTTTGAGGATTCACACGTGACGGATGTTGGACCTGTAGCACTGTAGGACCTGTAGGACGTGTAGGGCAGAGGTTTGATGGCGTGAAAAGGAGTGTTGCTCAGGCGAATGACCTTTGTGGATGCTGGGAAGGCCTCATTGACTCGATTAGATGGGGACAGAATGCATTGAGCATCGTCATGAAATGTCATGAATACTCATTCTTCAGTGAGGGAGTGTGAGTATTCGGCAACATTTTTGGTGAGGTGCTGCAAGGCTGATTTTTCTTCAAACTGAATTCCGGTCATGCTTTCAAGATGTTGGAGATACTGGATGCAGGTCTCCTTCTCAAACCCTGTGCGGCAGAGCCTTTTCACCCACAAGGATGCTGCGGAAGGTCGCAAGAAGGCGGCAGTGAAGGTCGTAGGTTTTGGTCAGCTGCTGACCAGCGTCAGCTACAAGGAAATGGTCCGTTGCATGAACATTTGGCAACTCTATGTAAACCTAAATCCACTGGTTCATCATATCGGTATTAATATTAAGATGACAATATGGCTAGTAATAATATATAATTATCATTTATCATCATTAAATATCCAATTGTTATCGGTAGTATTATCATATATTATCATCATTAAAATGGCAAGTGGCAAGGTTTGAACTAATTCTCACCCGAGAAAACTCTCTTGACCATGCCTTCAGCCAGGCCACAGCTGCCCGAGAGGCAGTGGAAGCGATCCTTCCAGATGCTGAAGCAAAGGATGTGCCTTTACACAGCGACCAGTTGGGCTGCCCCAATATGGCTATGTTACGCTATTCTTATGGGGAATGATGATGATATAATATTGATTGGCCATGAAATTTTGGGGATACCCAAATTTTCCGATACATACTTGTGGAGCTGATGTTCTAAGAATGGTAGAGTGGCAGTCACTGAAATGATGAAGTTGAGCAGCAGTAGATGCAAGGTGGTGATGGACATACCGATGCCGGGACATCCCCATCAATCTGCGGAGGTGTTGCGTGCGAACATTGCGCCTTGGCACGCAGAAACCCAGCTGCCATGGCGGTCCTATGAAGCGGTGAAGCGTTTTACCACTTTGAAATGTGGAGCAATTAAAGTTTTCAGGAAACATAGACCACGCGTTTGAGGGTCGCTTCAACCTGTTTAGGCTGTGGAAATGCATGGATCCTCAAAAAGATTCAAAACGTAGAGTTCATTTCACAAGAAATGTTGAGTTCACTTCTCAATGAGCTCTCATGAGGAAAAACTGCAGAGCCTGGTCGACAGCCACGATGTGATTTGAAACTTGGCTCGCTTGTTCCAATAGCAGTTGTGAAACGTCATGGTGGAAGAAGGCGCTTTGTTAGGGTTGTTGTGTATGGTTGCATGTTGGTCAGTTTTTTTTTAAATTCCTCCCCATGAACTCCTGGAGAATGCAATTTTTCCCTGTGCGTCAACTTGATCTTCTCATTCAGAAATGGGACATTGATCACAATCCAAGGACCTTTTTGGGACCCATGGATCTCTGATAACTTGGGGTCCGAGAACCCATAGGACCATAGGACACACCGAAAAAAACTGCCTCCAGCGGCTCCATCGGCTCCGAGGCATGCTGACTGATTCGCGCGAGTCCCGATGGCTTCCCTCCCTGATGGTCGCAGCTGCTCAGGTGAGACATGGCCATGTTTGAGAGAATTCTTGGCATATATTATATACTAGAGTATACTAGTATATATAATTATATACATAGATTGTGAAATGTATAGCATTGCAAGGTGTTTCTTCCATAGCAACCTTCGCGAGTCTCAGCATGTGCCAAACCAGCTGCCAGGGTAAAACCAAACATCACAGGTTGTTTCTTCTTCAGCAAACGAAGGCTCAGAGGCCCCCTTCAGAGGTATCGTGGCGGGTGGGACAATTTTTGCTTGATAGCCATAGCTACTCAGCGTGGACGCTGGATTGTTGGGCGAGGCGGCCCAATTGGCTTTGGACACCGGCAGTGTCCCTTTTCCTGCTTGGAACCTTGTGGCCTTTCGCTTTGGGGAAAAGAACCTCTTGCGCGATCAGGGTGTGGAGCTACCAGTGCGATTAAGTTCGCATTGGTAGCGGAGCCCCGCTGCCGAAAGTGCGGGAGATCCAGGGCGCCTTTGCAACAGCTGGTTCACCATGTCAGGTGACGGAGTTTCTTCTACATCAGGTGGTGATGGCACAAACATGGTGCCGAATCAGATTGCGTCGCTGGCGCCTACATTTGATCCGTCCAAGGACGATTTGCAGGTGTACTCACAGAAAGTCATGTTGCTGCTTGATGCCTGGCCGTCTGGAAAATATACAGAACTTACAACACGTTTGATTCTGAATTGCACAGGGTCCGCATTCATGAAGTTGCAGCTGCATCAAGCTGAGCTCATGGAAAATGAGCGCAAGTCAGTGAAACGCTTGATTGAAATCCTTGGTGGCCATTGGGGTCAAATTGGATCAGAAAAGAAGTATGAGCATGCAGAACGAGCTCTATACAAGTGTGTGCAGAAACCGGATGAGTCAGCCGACTCTTTCCTAGCCCGTGCAGACATCATGTGGACAGAACTGAATAGCAAGGACCTCAAGTTGTCAGACCTTCAGGCCTATGTGACTCTTCGAGGGTCAACTCTGAGCGCGGATGACAAAAAGAAAGTCCTTGTGGATGCTGATGCTGCTGGGTCTGGTGACCTTTCTGTACAAAGGGTGAGCAGTGCAATCAGGATGTTGGGAGCAGGATTCTTCCAAGACATGACAGGTGTGAAGCGAGGGAAGTTGAAAACTTACGATCAGGCCACTTTGCTTGCCGAAACGGCCGATCATGATGAGGATGTGAACGATGAGATCTATGCTGCAGAAGGTGAAACTGTGGGAGAGGATGAAATGATGGAGTCCCTGGTCAGTGAAGGGGACACTGATGCGATTTTCGTGTCAGACTATGAAACCGCAGTTTCAGAGGTGATTCAAAATGATGAAGATCTTGCCGCAGCTTTCAACACCTACACAGAGGCGAGACGCCGACTGAGTGAGAAGTTTCGTTTTCGTGGTTTCTGGCCAGTGTCGAGCAGTGGAAAATCCAAAGGTCCTTTCAAGGGTCGTGGAAAAGGGAAGTTCCATAAGGGACACTCGTCATCTAGGAAGTCACTGGAACAACGAATTCTGTCATCTCGTTGTCGCCTATGCAATAAAGTAGGTCACTGGAAAGCAGAATGCCCAGAGAGAAGCAGCCGTGCATCTCAGCCGAGCACATCTGCGCCCACCACGTTCGTGAGCACTGATGCCACACTGCCCATGGAGTTCTTGCAGATCCCCGTGAATGATGCCAGCCCACTAGATGAGCCTCAGTGTGAAGTAAGTGTTTTCAGTTTGTTAGGCCAAGAGGATTTCAGGGGTAAATTAAGGAATTCCCTTAATAATGTTCGGGTAAGAAATCCTGTGTTCACCTCACGCTTGTTGTCACGTGTGAGGAATGAACATGCCTGTGAAGTGAACCGCGAGCCAATTGCTGAGGAACCTTTGCTGTTTGCCACGCACAGTAGCCTGGGTGTAGTAGATTTGGGTGCCACAAAGACTGTCATTGGAAGTGACTTAGTAGCCGAATTGATCAGTAACTTGAAACCAGCTGTTCAAAAGAAGTTGACGCGTTGCCCATGTCAAGTGACTTTTCGTTTCGGAAACCATGGCACCTTACAAAGTCAGCAGGCACTGGTAGTTCCCTTGAAGGATATGTTGCTTAAAATAGCCATCGTCCCGGGGTCAACTCCTTTTCTTATCTCCAATACTTTGTTACGTGCGTATCAAGCAGTGATTGATGTTGAAAAACATGTGATGTGGTCAAAGAAATACCAGTGTGAATATCCGTTGCAACTGACTCCCAAGGGTTTGTTTTTGATAGACCTGAATGACTTGGCCGACTCAACGGTCAACAGACCGACCAGAGCCGGCCTTGCTGAAACTCACCTGGCCGAGACGCCGCAGCCAAAAGAAAGCCAGGCAGACTCAGGATCCGTGAAAACCCCAGAAATTTCAGGTTTTGTCAAACAGCCTCAACAGGAATCAGCCGAGAATGCCAGTTGCAACATGTCCGAACCTATGCCAAGTAGTTTAACCGAAAGCCAAGTCCATGTGCAGTCATCGTCTCAAGTGAAGGTCGTGCCTCGTGTCCATTTCCTGTCTCCGACCAGTGTTTCCCATGCCGTCGTTGATCGACCGCCTGAAGAAACTGCAAGTGCCCCAGCCAGAAGAACTGCCAGATTTGACGAAGTTTTCACTGGAGCAGATGGATCAGATGAAAGTGGAATTCGGGACCAAGCACAGGGGACACACGTTCCTGGACGTGTGGTCCAGCGATCAACAGTGGATAGCCTGGTTTTTGAAGCACTACCACACCAGCACCAAGGGAGTTCATCGCACCATGATCAAGCACATCGAGCTTCGCATCGAGCGTGCAGAGCTGGAGGGTCAGACCATCCCTGTCACCGAAGCACAGCCTCAAGTGACAAAGGGAACCAGTTCCATGGAGTCTGGGAAGCCATACCCAGGTCTTCTTCCCAAGGCCAAAGCGGCACCATGGTTCCTGCCGGAGGTGGACGAGATGTCCGTGTGGGATGTGACCAGCCAAGCCTCAGCCTCAATCGAAGCCCCAGAGATCCCGCCACAGCTGGAAAATCGGATGCAACAAATGGAAGGTGCCATCCACTCGATCCTTCACCACCTGGAGATGATGGCCAGTGGACAAGGCCAAGTGAACCGTGGAGAAACATGTAATGACTGTCCAGACATGGATCATCTTGCTAAGCAGTCATGCCAAGAACGCCAACGCTTTGTTGCTTTGGTCAACCAATACTCCAAAGAGTTGCAGCTTGCATTAGCAGAGCCCTGCCCGAAGCTGCGATCCAAAGGCCAATTGACCTTGCTAGAAGTCTTTTGCGGTCCACAAAGCCAGCTCACGCATCAGATGCAGCAACTTGGATGTAAAGCAGAAAGATTAGGCCTTGCTCAATGTGATTTGCAACAAGCCGACGGTCGAAAGCTTTTGTTTCAAACCGTTGCTGCCAGAAAGCCTGAGCACTTGTGGTTTTCTCCATCTTGCGGCCCGTGGTCAGGATGGTCCACACTCAATGGTAGCAAGTCTCTCCAAGCATGGGACAATCTGCAAGAGTCGCGTTTGAAACATGTGGAACAGATCGCTTTGGGTCTTGTACTTCTCAGGCATCAGCGAGGTGTCAACCACCACTTGCACTGGGAGCAGTCCCAGGCATCACTGATGTTCAAGTTGCCATATCTGCAGGAGGTACATCAATATACCATGGCCGTGGATTTTGACATGTGTACTGCAGGTAACCTTCAAGACCCCGAAAACAAGAAACCTATAAAGAAGGGAATGACTGTGTTGTCCACTTCAAAGCGGGTGATCCAAAGTTTGCACAACAAGAGATGCTCTGGAAACCATGATCATCAAGTCATAGAAGGGTCCACGATAGTCCATAACCAAAGGGTGAATCGCTCAACATACTCGGAAGCATATCCCCGAAAGTTTGCCCGAGACATGGCCAAGGTTTTGTGCAAGTTTGTTTATCCCAAAGAAAAGCCAATTGACTTATGCATGTTTGTTGGAGAGTCTCCTGCGTTGGTGAATGAACCTGCCATGAAGCGACGCAGATTGTTCGTCCAAGCAAAGCCGAAACTTTCCAGGTCATCGGAAATGACCGCTGACATGCCTTTGAAGAGGCGCAAGCTCGATGGAAAACAAACATGCCAAAATGCCCTTGACGCCTGGACCAAAGTATTTGACTTGGTAGATCAGATGTTGCCCAGAGTAGGAAAGAAGGAAATCAGGGAATCCAGTTTGCTCCAAGAACTGCAAAGGCTCTTGCCAGACATGAGTATCAAGTTTGCCATTGGTTGTAGAGGCTCCAGCCGTACTATTGCCCCCATCAATGAGATTGCACCACAAGAAGCACCGTTTAGAAAATGTGCCTATCTAAAAAGGGGAACCAATCGCATTTTTGTCGAGGATCAGTGGGAGAACTGGGAAGAACTAGCCAAACGCCAGAGAGTTCGCCCATCGCATGCCAGCCGACTCAATATAACGGTGTTTGCAAGTTTGCTTGGAGAGGATCACCATGAAGTGGAATCGACCGATTCCCCTAGCTCAGTTCCCAAGCCACAGCCGAGCTCGAATGAGCAGCTGCAGTCTGGACCGTTTCCGGCAGATCAGATCGACCATGTGCCCTCACCGGATTCAAGAGCCAATGTGAAAATCAACCATGATAACCCCCATGATAACCCTGCTTCACATAACTATCCCGACAATCTCCATAGTCCACCCAATAACGTAACCTTACCTGAAGTGCCAAAAGATAACATACCCCATGAATCCATACAGAATCTCTCCAGAGAGGACCAAGCACTTCTCCAGAAGATCCATAAGAATCTCGGTCACCCCAACCCTGAGAGGTTGAGCACCATGTTGTTGAAACAGGGATATACGCCAGAGATGATCCGTGCGGCCAGGCATTTCAAATGTGATGTCTGTATCCAAAATTCACAGCCCAAGCATGCTCGCCCTAGTACACTTAGGGATGACCTGGAATTTAATGACCGAATTTCTGTGGATGGTTTCACATGGACGAACACCAAGGGTCAAACATTCCATATGTATCATGTCTTGGATTGGGGAACAAACTTTCAAGTTGCCAGCATTGCCCCATCAAGATCGACGGAGGACTTCATCAAGGCCTTCACAAGCATGTGGTTGTCATGGGCAGGTGTTCCAGGTGAAATACTGGTAGATGCCGGATCCGAGTTCAACAGCGAGAGTTTCATGGAGTTTTTGCAGGGACACAACATCAAGGGTACAACTATAAGTCCGGAAGCTCACTTTCAAAATGGAAGGTCAGAAAGACATGGAGCCATCCTGCAAAGTATGCTGTCAAAATTCAACACTGAGCATGAAGTCACAAGCTATTCTGATTTGCAGAAAGCCCTCTGGTGGTGTGTTCAAGCGAAAAACGCCTGCAGCCTCAAAGGTGGATACGCGCCGGAAGTGTTGGTGTTAGGAAAACACACACGCCTGCCAGGTTCAGTCAGCAGTGACACTCTTTTGCCAGCACATATGCTAGCAGAATCTGAACATGCCCAGGGGTTGAAATTTCGATCTCAGCTTGCAATGAGGGAGACGGCTCGAAGGGCCTTTCATAGTGCTGACAACGATTCGTCACTGCGACGAGCATTACTCCGCCGGTCAAATCCTCACCGGGGGTTTTATCAGCCTGGTGAATGGGTCATGTCTTGGCGCGAAGGCACCGGCCAACAATCAGGATATTGGCAAGGTCCCATGAAGGTAGTTGTTCATGAAAATCAACAGACTATCTGGGTGACGATGTCCAGCAAGTTGTTTCGCAGTGCCCCTGAACATGTTAGGCCAGTGACCTCAGAGGAAGCCAGAGACATTGTTTGGACCCCTGATGAACCAAACATCTCCGAAATTGCCAAGCAGCTTCCCCGGGAAACCACAGGAAACATCACCAGGTTTGTGAATGTAGATAGCTCCAGCTTTCCAGAATCATCAGCTGTCCAACAGGACAGAACTCGTACCGAACCAAACCAGAATCCTGGACCGCTGTCATCCAGCTCAGGCATTGAAGATCAACCAGATCAAGAACCAGATGCCCCAGCTACACCATCCGAAGTGACTCCTGCAGGGGATTCAGATGAAGTACCAATTCCCGATAAACCTGAGGAAATCCCTATCCCCGATGATGATGATGATGATCTGGTCTGTGAAGGGTTGTACTGTCAAGATATAGATCAAAATGCACTGGAAGACGTTGGTGAAGGTTTCTCATGGAAAAGTGAAGTTCTTGTCAGCGAAGCTGATATTCAGTCATGGCGACAGTCCGAATCGCCTGGTGACATGGCATTTTTAGTGTCTGCAGCAAAGCGACAAAGAGCAGAAGTCAAATTGACAGAGCTCTCCGCCTCCGAACGTGCTGAATTTGCTGCTGCCAAAGATGCCGAGGTTTCCAATTGGTTGAAAACAGGCACAGTTCAGAAAATGTTCCGAAACCAAATTGCTCCTGAACAGATTCTTCGATGCCGTTGGATCTTAACATGGAAACCTGTGGATGAGGCGGATAGGGATCCCAACAAAACCAACAATGCTCGAAAGGCTAAGGCCAGACTTGTAGTGTTGGGTTACCTTGATCCCCAAATCACTGAAATACCAAGGGATTCTCCTACCTTAAATCGACATTCCAAAATGTTGCTACTACAGTTAATTGCCTCCAAGTCATGGGATTTGAGGTCATTTGACATTCGTGCAGCATTTCTACAAGGAAAGCCTCAGGAAGGTAGAGTCCTAGGTCTTGCACCTGTGCCTGAACTTGCAGCCAAAATGAACCTGAGACCTGATGAGATTTGCCGCTTAACAAAGAGCGCTTATGGTCTCATCGATGCGCCATATCTCTGGTTTCAAGCCCTCCGCGAAGAACTCCTGAAGTTAGAGTTTGAACAATCACCATTTTGTCCTTGCACCTTTATCTTAAGAAATCCCAAGACCAAAGAGCCCGATGGAATCATGGGTGTTCATGTGGATGATGGTTTATGCGGGGGAAATGAAAGATTCATGCTCAAGCTTCAACAACTGGAGAAAGTATATCCCTTTGGATCCCAAAAGGTTGGCAACTTTACCTTCACAGGAATTGAAATGTTTCAACACCCAAACAAAAGCATTACACTTTCCCAGACCGAATACATCAAGAAAATTGCACCAATCAAGATTACACCAGAACGAAGAAGGGATGAGACTCTCCAGGTGACACCAGAGGAAAAGATGGCTTTGAGAGGTCTTATTGGAAGCCTCCAATATGCATCCGTTCACACCAGACCAGACTTGGCAAGTAGGCTAAGCTTCCTGCAGTCCGACATTAATCAAGCCACTGTTGAAACCCTCATGAATGCGAACAAAACCTTACACGAAGCCAAACGTCATTCCCAAGTATCAATTCACATACAACCCATAGCTTGCCAAGACCTGCGTTTCCTTGCATTCTCCGATGCATCGTTTGCATCCAAAAAGAATCCGGATTCACACACTGGTTGTATAATCATGAGTACTCATAAAGATATCTCCAGAAACACCACTTGTCCAGTAAATCCTATGTCCTGGGGTTGCAAGAAAATCCAAAGGGTTGTGACTAGCACTTTAGCGGCCGAAACAGTGTCACTCAGCTCAGTTTTGGATCAGCTTTCATGGATTAGGCTCTGTTGGGCCTGGATGTTGGACTCAAGTGTAAGATGGCAGAAACCTGAAAGAACTCTCCAAGGTTTACCAGAATCATACTCAACTGCCACTGTCAAAGCTCAAAGGTTGCCTGAAGACACCGTGGCCACAGACTGCAAAAGTTTGTTTGATTTGGTGAGCCGAACTGCCCCACCATCATGCAGCGAGTTCAGAACCCAGCTGAACGCGAGATATATCAAAGATCTCCTGGCTGAGAATGTGAATCTCCGATGGGTTCACTCCGGAGCCCAGCTAGCTGATGGATTAACGAAAATTATGGAGAACAGTTTTCTGCGTGAGACACTTGCAAGTGGAAAGTACCGTTTGAATGATGAACTTGAGATATTAAAAGCCAGATCGGACTCTCGAACCCGCCTGAAATGGCTACGTTCCCATGGTGATGCAAGCACCTGCAATGCCCCGAACACTGCTTGATCTCTAAGTTTTGAAACTTTATAGAATTTTTGGGAGTGTGAAATGTATAGCATTGCAAGGTGTTTCTTCCATAGCAACCTTCGCGAGTCTCAGCATGTGCCAAACCAGCTGCCAGGGTAAAACCAAACATCACAGGTTGTTTCTTCTTCAGCAAACGAAGGCTCAGAGGCCCCCTTCAGAGGTATCGTGGCGGGTGGGACAATTTTTGCTTGATAGCCATAGCTACTCAGCGTGGACGCTGGATTGTTGGGCGAGGCGGCCCAATTGGCTTTGGACACCGGCAGTGTCCCTTTTCCTGCTTGGAACCTTGTGGCCTTTCGCTTTGGGGAAAAGAACCTCTTGCGCGATCAGGGTGTGGAGCTACCAGTGCGATTAAGTTCGCAATAGATACAAATATGTATAATAAATAATTATACATATATGTATATGTGTGGATGCATGGGTGTGTGATCTCTCCGGATCCCGGCCGCAGTGAAGCGAGAAAATTGCAGTGGCGGCAAGAACGTGATCCTTTGGAGTTTCAGTGTTTGGGACATTGGGCCACCTTGGGACATGTTTGATTGTGGCAGGACAGAGAGAATCCACCTTTGGGGCTCACGGTAGCCTTAGGCTTTGACTCTTTTCTCGTTTCCAGGCTGGGTGCTTTGTTGCCAAGTAGGTGATTGGTGTCACATGCACAGATACAACGAGTCGTGAGTTGTCAGCCCCTGTCTGCTGAGCTGATTGAAGGCAAACTTATCGCAAGTCCCTTGCTGCGTGTTACTTCTGCAATGATGTCACAGCTCCCTCTGACATTTGTCTGCAGAGATCTGCAGAGTATTTTTGCACATTTTTGCATATGTTTGCAAGTCAACACATGGGGCTCCTAAGGGATTTGCTTCAAGAACCACGCCCGCTTGCTTTGTGTTCTTCCAATTTCATGGAACTTGGAGTAGTCGAGAATTTTTATGCCCATACAGAATCATGAAGATGGGATGCCAACGATACAGCATTCGCCTCAGGATTCCTTGGCCTTCAGGACGGTCCAGATGACGTTTTCCGTGTACTGAAGCTTCTGCAATTTTTTCTGTTCTTACACGCTACTTGCACAGACACAAGTGGATCCGCGTTCCCAGTCGCCAGTTGCTCATGTCATGGCTGGAAGATGGAAGCAGGACACTGGACCAGCAGTGCACTGTGACGCGGCCAGGGATTTCTGGCTTGGCCAGCAATATCGCCGTGGAGTTACTGGCTGCCTTAACCCAGCACCAGGATGGAGACTTCCGTCGGATGGAGTCACAGTCGGATGGAGTTGAAAATTCATGGAGCAATGAGGGCTGGTTGTTGTCATGTCAAGGATCGGCTTAGCCTACCTTGGCTAGGTGGAGTCTGCTGAAGCATAAGATTGCAGCGGGAAGTGTTGAAGGGATGAACTATGCATTCTCTTTGAAATACACCAAATCCTGTGTATGGCCGCGGATCAGATTCAACGACCTCCCAAAATCTCGTTATGACGTTTCAATTGGGTGCATAAGAAGGTTCCTGGGTGTCGTCCCCTGCTCGTTTGCGGAGGATGGATTTGGAGCATCCTCCACGGGCACTCCCAGTATCGCTGAGTCTCCTTTGGGCGGTGTGCCCCACCAGGTTGGCTGGGGAGCAGATGGGAGCAGGGCATAACTCCAGGAAGAGTTGTCAATAGCGGTCAAACTTCTCAAAGCTTAGAGTCTTAGAGTGATGGAATTGACAGGAGCATGGACCTTCTCCTTGAGCAAACGTTGGGTTCTCTTGTCCAGGTTCGAGGCTACGCAGCGGAGTATACCTTATCCCCAGCTGAGACTGAGCCCTTCAAACATTGCGTTTGCTGCTCAAAGGAGGCTGGGCGATTCTCATAAGGATTCCTAAGGTCCGCTCACTGCTCTCGGAGGAGTTGTGCTTTTCAACAGACTGTGACACCAGCAACGCGTGCTATGAACAGCCGAACACTGAAGTCAATCATGCAAGTGGCTTCAAGAGTCTTGTGATTCCGCCATTGCACACTGAAAAATAGTGTTGGACACTGTGCCTTCGACTTTTCAAGACATACAAAGTGATTTCTTTCACAAGGCACGGAACAAGACTGCAACGGAATGTCTGCACCAGGTACTTGATATCTATGCGAAAGAAGGAGGTGGCTTCCTTGAGAAAGTAGTTGCCGACTCCTCCATTCTGGAGGACAACTTCGCACCAGGGCTATGCTCATTCGGATAAGACCAAAGATGATCCTTCATTATCCTTCGATGATGATGATGATGATGATGGTATGATGTGCTGGATCTTACTTTTTAAATATTTTTTGCTTGTGCATGTTGTGCACGATGCCACTTCGTTTACTTTTTGGTTTACTTTTTGCTGCTTTGGAGATTATCATCGCTGTCAGTTCTACAGGAAGTTTCCGGCCTGGCAGAGATGAAAGCTGCAATGTGGGGGCCCGGCGCTGAGGACTTCAGTTCTTTGTTTCTGCCTGTAATTGCCACAAGGCATTCCGGTGTTGCCATCATTTTGCAATTTTGCATCCAAAAGACCAGGTCTTAACACTACAAAGACCTACATCGTTCATCATCATTCTATTTTTAGCCAGGAGACGGAATGGCTGTTGATTTGTCTTGAGATGTCTTGAGGCAAGCTGGAGATGTTGAAGCCTTCGATGACTTTGACGATCTTTAGCTTGCAGTGCGGATATATGCAGAGATGCCCCCCCAAGGAAGGCCAGATGCCACATGATGCCACATGATGCCACATGCAAGTCCTGGGCCAAGAATTCAATGAACTTCTGCTTGTCTAAACAACTTGGCCCTGGGGGGGCAACGATGCACGTCTTCTCCCACAACGAGGCTCTGAGTCTGAGGCCCAAGGCTTTCCACGGAACGAACAGTTCGGCGAAAGAAAAAGCCAACCTGCGCGAGACACAAGACTTGTGGTTTGGAAACGTTGCAAGACACCAGTAACACAAGATCTCTCTTTGGGCTCTTTTTCTGTTGTACTGCGGTCTTTTCTAATTTCAGGATGTCTCAACGCTTTCACTGTGCCACTATGATTCAGTATGATATTCTGCACGGATGTGCATGCTCTGTCCCAATGGCTCCAGCAGTGGTCTCTGCATCTTTGGCTCAGGCGGTATCTTAGCACTGGATTTGTGTTCCCAGCACTCCAGGGCAGAGAAGCCACCATGTCGCTGATGAGGCTGTATCCCGAAGATCATGTGTTAGCGTGTTGGCATGGCAACATGAACATGGCAGGTTATGTGATGGCTTTTGAGAAATGAAGTTTCAAGTTTTTCAGCAGGAAGGAACAAAATATGAAGGGTATGTGAAAGTATTCATCTCTGCATAGAATGCCACCCAAATCCTTAAATATTCCAAAATGGACGGGAGGCAAAACACCCAAGGGTCGTGACTTCTGGTTGATGTGGGTATATTTATGCGCAATTCATATGCTTTCCAGTTTCTTTCCATCAAGTTAGTGTTAATTTCTACCCCCAGAACTTCTATTCTGAGTTGCTTTCACGGACTGTTCACATTTATTTATCATTATTTGGAGGGGAACAGTATAACTATCCGATAATATATATGATACTGGCAGTTATTATAGTATTTATAGTTAACACTTAAAACAACAATTTGAAACATATCTTAAAATATGAGCTATTGACGGCTGACCTGTCACCATTGTGGAAAGCGAAAGCAGCGGCAGGGTCGTGACCAAAGGCCGCGTCCAGCTGGTGGCCTCAAGGCTGGGCATCTGTCCCCCATGAAGCCAAACATAAACCAAACATGAACCAAGGTATGTGCTATCTAAATCTAACGGCAAATCACCTTGTAGTAAATATATGTAAATATGGATGTTCAAGTCCTCACGTATGGTTTCTTGAGGTTGGACAAGGTATCCATCCCCATATTGATTTGGGACCTTGTTTGTGTAGTTGGGCTAATCAATGATAATCAATGTGTGGGTGCAGCGGTGGAGTGAAATGGATATGCAGATTCAGCACTTCTTTCAAAGGTGAACAATCTTGAAAGCTAGCTTACAGACAGTACTGGGTCGTACGGGTAGTAGGCTGATGGTCTAGCGAAAGCTCTGACGTGCAGGTTCTTTGACATGGCTTGGCTACACCTCGGGTACGTAGTTTAACAATGTTTAACAATGTTTAACATCATCTATGTATATTAAATGTCTATAGATATTCCCAAATCTATGGCATGGGATTTGGCATATTTGGCCTTGCCGAGCCTTAGCAGGCTTCCAGCCACCCGCAGCAGTGCCTTCATGCCCTCAACGTCGGGTTTGCTCAGCGAAGCCAGCAGTACTTATTTCTTCACTTTCTTTCTGGTAGTGTGTGGACAACATCATCAGGAATTCCGCCGCAAAGTTACAGACATGGCATGACATAGCACATAATTACTGGCTGACTCTCCAATCGGGAAGATAAAGACTCTTGCAACTCGCAAGTAGAACGTGTGTGCTTGTCTGAGTGAAGTCTCTCAATGAGATAGAATGGGGTTGCCTTGTCTACTCCAATTAGTTGCAATGTCCAAAAGGGAAATATGGATTTGTCTGAAAATAACATACCCCCAGATCTGACGCTAAATCACTATTTTCCTTAATAAACTTGCAATTTGAGGTTATACCCTCATTTCCAGACACACACTTGCCGCGCTCAGGCCTGAAGAGTGGGAAGCCGCAGGCTATGAGACCTCCAAGAAGAATGGGGCACCAAAGATCTACTCCATGTGGAACAGGTGCGGGATCGGTAAGACCACAGGTGCATGAAAGGAGTTGGATTCGATGATTAATGTATTCGTATGTATTCGTGCAATCGTGAAGAGCATATTTCAGCGACATTTTCATAATCTCATCTTGGTTCAACTCTTGACTTCAGGTGGTTCCCCTATGAGCCTGTGCCCTTCTCTCCCAAGTTGGGCCCATACATTGAATATGTGGAAAAGGATCACGTCTACTACTGGTGCTCCTGTGGCGAGTCAGTATCACAACCATGGTGCGACAATGTGGGCTGCGAGGGGACGAAGTTCAAGCCGGTAGTTGTCATTCCAGAGCACTCTCGCAAGCAATGGTTCTGTGGAAGCAAGCACAGCCCTACAAGGCCTGAATTCAACGGTACGTGCTGGTCAGTGTGGATGGACGTGAATACAATCCCAGCAGCCGGTCTCCTCTTCGGAATTTCATTCGTCACCGGGATCCTATGCACCTGGATTGCTCATCCTTGAAACGAGAATGCCAGAAATATGTCCACCTTGAATAGAGCAATATGTTTTTGGAACAAGAATTCCGGCAAAAAAGACAAAGACAGTGAAGATGATAATGGCATATGCATATAATATTAAAAAATCATCATATTTCCAACGTCCAAATTTAATGAAGACAAACTTTACCAATGTTAGAGCGACAGGCAGGATGAAGGTATGAATTTTCAAACCAAAGAATATTCTTCTAGTATTACGAATGGCCTGGGACGGGACCACAAATACGCACATTCCCGACGAACCTATCTCACTTTTTCAATCTAGAATCTAGTGTTCCGAATACTACTTTTAGAGTATCGGACTCTGTCTAAGAACCCGGAGGCTACCTTTTCGCAAATTTCTTTACGGCGGAAAACGGAACATGGAAGACGAAGGATGAAGGACGGAACACGAAGGATGGAGGACGGAGGACAGAGGAGGGACGAAAAACGTGGAGGACAACGGACCGAGGGCAGAGAACGAAGGACAGGAAACGGATAATAAACAATAAATAATGATTTTTATATTTATAAGACGAAAACATAATTATAAAATGGGGGTTTGAATTTCCTTTACGAAATATATTAGTCCGGATTTGGTATAATATAGAATTGGACCAAAAAGTTACACGCTAAGGCCCTTTTGGGCTATATTTTTTAAACTAAGATTATATAAAATTATTATTATTATTTTTTTTAAATAAAAAAAATATGTTTGTTTTGGCATTTTGTAGTATTTTTATATTATTTCCGAAATTTTGGTTTT